AGTCAGCAAAAGGGACAACTGGTTACGCAGAAAAAAAATTGTTTAAATATAATTAAGGATTATATTTTATTAAAATTATCCTTAATTTGAAGTATTAAATTATTAAATTAATATTTTTTTATGTCAGGTTAAAGTTAAATATTGTTTTAAAGCTGATAAAACGTGAGTTAAAAAAATTATTATAAAATAAAAATGAAAAGAAAGCTTATTGTTTATCACATTTATTATGTATTTATTTTTTTGTTATTTTTTTATAAGCCCTAATTTAAAATTTTCAAAAACTGTATTCTAAAATATCAATTCCAAGAATAGTCTTAAAAATTTTTAAATAATTCCCGTGTAGGATCCTTCCAGCTTTTGAGTAACAGTGGACACAGGATGTTTTTCGCCCTGCCTGGAACATTTAAATAAAAAACGAATTTCTCATTTCGCTGCAGTTGCGGCGGCTTGTTTGCAGATTGAATGGAGTGCTTCCGACATCCGGCTGCACATCTTCCTCCATTTTTTTCTTTTTGCCAGCGCTGCACTTTCGTCTTGAGAACTGCAATGGCGTTGCGAAAAAGTTGACTAACCAATCTTCTCCTTCGGCTGCCTGTGTCTCCCGGTTCCTTTGACTCACATGTGACCCGGCCAAGTTTCACCCATGCTCCAACTTTTTGTGGGCAAGGAGCAGTGCAGCGGCTCTGGATGCAGTTGAGATGGGAAGGACGATACACAAAGGCCCGCAGGATTCGCCTTGAAGGCTCTGACCGAACCGCAGACACTTTGTCTGGCTGCCGGCCATAAATCTAAGGTCCGCGTCCTGTCCTCCGCCATCCTGCTCCGTTTTGGGGCTCCTGCAGCACCTCCTGCTGCTGCTGGAGCCAAGGATATAGAAAATGAAATAATTTTTGAAACATCAAAGTGTTGCGCGTTTACAGCGCACCAGCTGAGAGTAATGACTTTGTATCTGTTGTTGTATTTTTTTTGGGAGGGCTTCTGTTGTTGTTTTTTTCGTCTATCACCAGCTGGCGGGTGTTGAAGCCTTAAAGCTGAGTCTTTGAGTTCTACAGGAATTATATTAGCAGGCGAAACGGAAACGTATACTCACTGATCGCATATCCTTGCTACCGCTGGTCAACACCTTCTCCTTGGGTTTCTGTCAGAAAAACCCCATCCGAGCGCCTCCGTCCTGCAGCTGGCGCCCAGTTTCCTTGGTATCCATTGGCCCTGGGCCAGGGACATGGCGCAGGATGCGCTCTTAATTTATGGCATTGAACTTTTATTGGGCAAATTTCGGTTCATCTTCATGCGTGTATTAAGACTAATGGCCGGGCTCTGCCGGAAGTCCTTCATTGACAAAGACAGTAACGGAGGATACTCCGAAGACAACATCTTTGGATTACATTTGTATGTGTTTGGGAGTGTATGCTTGAGTGTGTGTGTGTCTAAAGAAAAAGGCTGTAGAATTGCAACATGACCTTTTTATTGCATACTTTTGGGCTTTTACAGAAAGATTGCCGTATTTATAGCAACTATGAATACATGTTTTATATTTTTAAGATTAGGAAGCCAAAAATTAGATTGTAAATATATTTAGTAAAAGAAAGAGAGAGTATCTCTTTTAAACAAAAATGAAACCTAACTTTAATTTACATACTTAATTAAAAACAGAAAAATAAACTTGCCTTTCCGCGAATATCGTATTTCAACAATTATGCAACTTCATTAAATTCTCGCATTTATCATGGCCAAGTTTTTCAAAAATTGGAAACGGCAAACGGAATTGCACAATTCGAGCGAATAAAAATTGTGGTCATAGTAAAACATTTATACGACTGAGAAAGTCCCTAGTTTAAAGACAATATTTAAGAGATAATCTAATAATATTTATTAATCATAATTTAATAATAAACTGTGGCTACACTGCCATGATAGGGTTATATCTTATAACAATTGATGTACTATTTGGCAAAAATAATGACACTTTTTTAGTAAAAGAATTCACCATCTAATTGAGAATCCTTAAAAATTCAAAATACCAATTGAAAAAAAAAAATAATAAAAAATTAATAAAATAAAAAAATTAAAAGAGATCTCTTGGTGTTACCTTCATAAATAAAAGACAAAACAAAAACAAAACTAAAAAAAAAAACTATTGGAAAATGTTAAAAGTAAATTTTCATTAACATACTTTTAGTTGCTATAAGGATTAACCAATATCGTAAAAGTATATGTACATACATAATATATTTTTGTTAAAAGTCTTCAGTGAAATGTAAATACCAAATCTTTAGATATTATATACCTGTTCTTACCTTTCATAAAATATTTTAAAGCCATGTTTACAAAAATTAAGAACATTTTTATAGATTTCATATACATTTTTTAATTTTTAATTAGGTTTTCAAGCTTGATCCCTTATTTTTTCTAAGGAATTTAACATTTCGTTCAGTGCTCAACCCCAACTGAAAAAAGAGCGCGAAAGGTCGAGAGGATCGGTGGAAATAGTGACCGCTTGGTGTTGGCATTGCCAGTGCGTTTATGGTTTGATGATTTACAGTCACGCCCATAAATACTCGCACGGCCAGTGTGCACATTATTCGCGATTTATGCCGCTTCGTTCATAACTCATGCAACAGCACATGTAAAATTTATGCAATTATTAATTTAACACGCCATCAGCTCTGCCACGCACCCACCCACGCAACACTTTCACCATTGACCTCCACTCTTTACAGCTATACAATCCCGTCTGATATTTCGATTTGATTTTATTTGGATGGAGCATATTAATATCGCACAAGAGACATCTAATCTAAGTCGACAAAGCGTTTTACGATTGAAAATCCGGAAGGAACAAATTTGTACTACGAACTCAAGAGTTATCAGGGAAGAAAGGAGCTTAGGAGATGAAATTTTAAGGTATAGTACAGGTACAAAATTACAATAAATTATATATTGCCTTATTTTTAATATTAAAGTCTAATTCTTTACAATTAATATTGATCATTTATAATGTAAGGCTTTGAAGAGAATTCTCCTTACAAAACATCGATTTTAATAACTTTAATCTATTTTCTTATTTTTATTATTAACCTAATTTAAACATATTTTCTCAAATTCTAATCAAAATCATAATTAAAATAAAGACAAAATGAGTACAGAAATACATCACAACTACAAGTATAGGTACATCACATCGGTACTAAGGGTTATGGGTTCACTTTGGTCCACATTGGTCCACTTCCACCAGCCGTGGACCGCCATAATTTACTCGACGAGCAAAAACACTCACGGAAAATAATAAATGTCCAATATGTTAGCCCGTCCTGGCAACACAAAACGGAGCCAAAAGATGGCAACACCCAGGACAGGACACCCGCACACAGCCTGCACCAAAATCGACATCAGTGACAGCAGCAGTAGCAGCAACAACAACAACTACAATATGGCCAAAAAGCAACAAAGCTCAAACAGTCAGACCTTGAATACCCTAGAATAGAGGACTATTGACTTTGACTTACCAAAAACAAAAAAAATTTTAAGCTAGAAAATTATAAATTATTGGAATTTCATGTTAAAAAGTCACCTATGTATATAGGAAGTAAGGATTTGTAAATATATAGAGAGGAAATATATAACAAACCGACATATAAAAAAGACCTTATATATATTATTTTCATATACACAATTTTTAAATATCGAAAAATATAGGTAAACGTTAACATTAAATAACGTTAAATGTCTGAAAAATAAGCCTTTTTTTCTATTATTATATTTCAATTTCAAAAATCCCCAAAAAACTTCAATACCCTATGTAAGGGTAACGGATATAAACCATGTTTATTCGGCATGTGTGAAGCGAAGGATGATATAAAAAGTACGGGGCAGGGCGGAGGCAGAAGCTGGGGCCAGGCCACCTGCTAGGCTCGAGTGCATAGAGTGAAGTTCCATTGCGAACATGGGCAGCATGTCGCTCCATTAATTTGCCATAAAACAGAAGTGGACTAAAATTTGTTTGTCGTTGTTATTGTCCGAGCAAAAAATTACAAATGGTTCGGGTCCAGGAAAGCCAACGGCAACGGGGAGATATTGGAGTTTGGGTTTGATGCTGGTCACAGGGGGTGGAAGCGAACTAGTTGTGGGGGTCAAAGCTAGGGTCTCCTTATTTATGGCGCAACCACTTTTGATGTTCTGTTAAATGTCCGCAATGACACATTGAGGACATCCCCTATTTGTACTAACGTACAGGCCAGACATTAGCGGGGTGTTGCGATCTACCTATCATTCCCATATGGATATATTCAGGAATCTGTTGTAGAAATCTGATTATAACAAAGCTCAATGGATGGCTATAAACTGTTATGAAATGTGGGATTTTAATTAAATTTAATTCTTTCTTTGAATTTACGTGAATTTGAGCGATCTGGTTGGTTTTATAGATAATTAGTTAATTTAAAAAATACTACACTTCTTATTGAAATTAAAAAAAAAATATAGTTTTTAATTCAATGTTTCCTATAAGACGCTATCAACATCAATTTGCCTAATTTGCTTGAGTCCAATGACACCAATGACCTTGAGAAGTCTGATAGGTCCACCGTGGGGCGCCAATTTTAAGGACTCTACTAAACCGTATGTAATAAAATTTATGAATATTGTTGTACTCTAGATATATATTTTTAAAATACATTGACTAAAAATAAATAGAAATTAACATTATACCATGCTTTATATTTCTATAGGTTAGGTAGTGTGTTTATAGGCACATCACAATCTGCTTTAATAAAAAACACTAGAAAATAAATGTAAACAAATCCGGACAGCCCAACAGCTGTGTTTAAGTGAGGTGATAATACTTGACCACAAGTAAAGGCGGGGGTGTGGTGTCTACTAAATACTTATCACTATCCCTGACTCCTACGTCACATTTCCTCACCCCATCCAAGTGCTATTGACTGATAACGACAAACTTATAGGTCCCCGTACTTGATCGTTTGATGCGTTTGAATCAGTAACAAGTCGGCTTTCCGAGCGAGTGGTTCTTGGGCGGCACATTGGAAATAAAAGAAAATTTAAAAAAATGGCCAAGGACAATCTGACGGCAGTGCTATATGGCATTGAGGATATGCGTTTGGTAAGGAAATAATGGAAATTGATTACTCGGTGCGGATTATTATTAAAAAAACAACAATTTTGTCGATAGGAACAACGTCCTATACCGGAAATAGCCGATGATGGTAAGCAAAGAGTAGATTTTAATAATTAAAGTGTATGTGTAAATGTGATTTAGCCAATTAAATTAAATCGAAATAGTAACAATAATAATCGAAACACAAAGTTGTACAAATGTTTTATATTTGTTCATTTAAAATGAAGTAGGTAATATCTGCAAAATATTAAATGTCATATAAATCTTTATTTTATTGCATTTTCGAGTTATTTATCTTTAGATAACATTGCACTATATTTATATTTTATTTTTGAAGTGTCTTATCAGTATAGTAACCCAGTGCCTTGTATAAAACGATTCAAGGTCACATTTACATGACCTAAAAATCATTTACAGATAAGCAATATAGGCAATATATTCTCAGCGAAACGGTGGTAATGTGTATAGTTTGATTCCACATTTAAATACTTTTTTTAAATACTTGCATTACCTGGATTAAACTAAAACTTTTCTTATATTTTCTCCCGTTCAGAGGTTCTCCTGGCCATGGACTGTGTCGGCATTTGCGGCTCTGATGTCCACTATTTGCAGCACGGACGTATTGGCGATTTTGTGCTCACCAAGCCCATGGTAATTGGCCACGAGTCCGCCGGAGTGGTGACCAAGCTGGGAAAGAAAGTTACAAACCTGAAGGTGGGCGATCGTGTGGCCATCGAACCGGGTGTACCTTGCCGTTATTGTGACCACTGCAAGGGTGGCCAGTACAACCTGTGCCCAGGCATGGTCTTCTGCGCCACACCCCCCTACGACGGCAACCTTACCCGCTACTACAAGCACGCGGCAGACTTCTGCTTCAAGCTCCCCGATCACGTTTCCATGGAGGAGGGCGCCCTGCTGGAGCCCCTGTCAGTGGGAGTGCACGCCTGCAAGCGAGCGGGCGTGACCCTGGGCTCCAAGGTGCTCATCCTGGGAGCGGGACCCATTGGCTTGGTCACTCTGCTGGTGAGTTATCATTGGAATTGCTTATAATAATATTAAATTGAGATTCATAAAGAAATTATAGGTATTAATATTACTTCATAAACATTTTAAACTAACTAATGCTGACTTTGCAGGCTGCTCAATCCATGGGTGCCTCTGAGATCCTGATTACTGATCTGCTACAGCAGCGTCTGGATGTGGCCAAGGAGCTGGGCGCCACCCACACGCTCCTGCTGAACCGTGACCAAACCGCCGAGGAGACGGCCAAGCTTGTCCGCAAGACAATGAGTGGCGAGCCGGACAAGTCAATCGATTGCTGTGGTGCGGAGAGCAGTGCTCGATTGGCCATCTTTGTAAGTTAACCCCTAAAATCCCTGAAACTAATAAATTAATTCCGAAACTTCCTTGCAGGCCACTCGTTCCGGCGGAGTCGTGGTGGTGGTGGGCATGGGAGCCGCTGAAGTCAAGCTGCCTCTGATCAATGCCCTCGCCCGAGAAGTGGATGTCCGAGGAGTGTTCCGCTACTGCAACGAGTAAGAAATAAATTAGTTTTATTATTTAATTATAATAATATAATATTTTTCGCATAGCTACGCTTCTGCATTGGCCTTGGTGGCCTCTGGAAAGGTGAATGTAAAGCGGCTGGTAACCCACCATTTCGACATCAAGGAGACGGACAAGGCCTTCGAAACCTCGCGAAAGGGATTGGGAGGAGCCATCAAAGTGATGATCCATGTGCAGCCCAGAAACACCAACAATCGTGTCAAATTTTGAATAGCTCCTCTATTTAATGTAACAAATACAGCCTCGAAAACACAGTACACTTCTCAGCATTAATCAAAGGACTACAGTCTTGGCCATGTTCAGAATCTAAATTTTCAACTTACAGTTCCTTCAATAAACCAAATTTATAGTTTCACTGGTTTAACCTCTTCACACCAGAACTAAGATGGCCGGCATCGTATTCGAAAGTATCGCGGTTTGTCGTCGGTCAACCTACCGTCTTCGTTATCTGCGCGTCACTCAACGTCCATTTGTTCTCTGGCCATCTTTGGTGACACAACAGCATCCAGGCCAAAGGTACAGTAGTTCCGATGGTTCCGCCGATCAGACTGGCCAAGATCAGCTGCACCAGATGAAGCCCATCCAGTTGGGTCAGGGCCTGGTTCCGAAAGGCAAGGGTCCTGACGGTTCGGAGGTGACAGCAGCACCCCCTCAAGACCCTAAAGATGCACCTGGGGAGAAGCAATCGGAGTTGCCCTACGAGGTCAGACCGGAGATACCCTTAGAGGCTCCGAATCGCCTTAACCCCACGCCCCTGGAGGTAAAGCCACCCAATCCACATACTATTATTTGCACCTCCGACTCTGAGGCGTTAGGTGATAAAGCTCCAAAGGATGTAGACTCCACTATAGGTAAGAAATTCTAGGAAAAAATATTATGGGTTTCTGAAGTCCTTAGCCCAATTCGTAATAGGTTCTGAAGTGCAATCGAACAGTTCCTCCTCAAACGAGTTACCGCCCCCAGTAATCAATTTAATGGATGACCAAACCCCATCTCCAACAGCGACTGAACTGGATTATACAGAATCTCCTTTCATTTATATTGAATCTGACCTGGACTATCAATCGCCACCTGTAACAACAACTGTTGAAGACACTGGGCATCAAACCGAACCAACTGAGAAAAAGGCTCAGTCTGCATATCTTATTAAATCTGATGAAGATGCTCTGCCTCCATTGCCATCCCAGTACGATAACAAACCACTGCCCAAGGAACCTGGATCAATTGCAACCCTGGACCTTAAGGTTAAGCCCCAGTCAAGCCCTTCGGCAGACAATTCAGAACGAATCTCTCAGCCAAAGTCAGAGGCAATCGGTTCAGAGTGGTCTCATGGCTCCAGTTTTGATTTGCCTGGGGAAGGCAAGATCGCCGAACAAAGAGCAGAGGTCGAGCCGATCATCAGCAGCAGTGCCAAGGACGAATATGATGGTCATTTTGTTCAGACTTTAGATAATCAGGATCAGGAAACAAAGGGTACTTCACCTGCAGAAACGGTCAGCGAAAACGTTAACGACCACGAGATAATTGATCAGTGGGTGGACAAATTTATGCGATATTACAATGCAGAAAACGCTGCTTTTGGTCTCAATAATGAAAATCAAGTTAGGGCCTCTAGCGATAAGCAAAAATCAGAGGCCATAGATGAAAAGGCTAGAAATCGTTTGCAGAAAATGGTAATGAAAGATAATAAGTGGGTTTTCGATAACAAGGATTCTGCAAAAACTGAATCACCCTCATCTGAACCTAGTTCCTCCACAACTAAAAAAAGTGACTTGCCACTAAAAAATAAAATCGAGGCCTCTAGCGACATGCTTAATTCAGAGTCCCAAGATGAAAAGGCTAGAAATCGTTTGCAGGCAATGGTGATGAAAGATAATAAGTGGGTTTTCGATAACAAGGATAACAAGGATACTGCAGAAAAAGTAGCACCCCGCTCAGATGTTAGTTCTTCCCCCACTCTTAGAAGTACCCATGAAGATGACTTTCCACTGGACATAGAGACGACACAGCATGACAAAGCATTTAGTAATAAAAAGGATGAAACACCTGTGCTTACTATGGTGATGAAAAATAATGAATGGATGATTGAGAACAAGCATACTGCAGAAACCCCCTCCGATCCTGTCTTATCTAGAAATGATAAGACTAGCCCTAAAGGTATCTCGCCAGAAAACATAGAGGCAAATTACAAATCCCACAAGGATGAAAAGTCTTCGATGTCCATGGTGAAGAAAAATAATGTTTGGGTTCTTAGGGACAAAGACACTGCAGAGTCCATATCACCCTCCCCTAATTCAACTTTAACTGATAAAAGTAACCCTGAAGGAACACTGCCGCCGAAAGTAATGGCCACAGAGTTCAGGGAATCAAAGAAAGCTTCACCAGCGCTGGGGTCTGATAAGCAGGCTCATATTGATGCCTCCACAATACCCGTTCAGCTTATCCTTGGCCAGACTCCTGCAGCAGATAAATCTGAATCTAAAGTTACCGAAAAGTCTCCCGGCCAAGCCACAGAGGAAATCGTTGCATTGTTTGAAAAAGATGGCAGTAAAAAGGGAGACCAGAAGCATTTAAAATTCTTAGATAGGACTACTATTCCTGAGTCCACTAAGGATACTTTTGCGGATGTCCTGGAAATACCAGCAACAGTAACCCACAAGGCGGAAGATGCAGATGAGGAAAAACTTGATAAAGCCCAGGAGAAGAAAGATGCAGGCGATTACTTTTCAAAGTTATTCGATCTTGAAGAATCATTAATCGCAAACAGTGCTGACGATAAAAATAGCAACATAGTCAGTATGGAGAACAGCAAGATGGATGACTTTTCGGCCGAAATTGATTCCTCTTTCGAAAAGGCTGCCAAAGATTCAGATTCAGATTTCAGCGAAATAGTTGAGGAGGTTGATTTTAACAGTATTCTGAAAGAAGTTGAACAGAAGAACGAAAGCGAGACTGAAACTACGTCACTGTTACCTCATGATCTCTACGATCCAGTATCGGATGAGGTTATCGCTCCTGAGGTGGAGGATCGCGAACACTGGAATACCGACTCAGAGGCATCAGAGGTCGAAGCCAACACGGAGGAAACCCCGATGAGAAGGGAAAAGCCAGAATTGGAAGAAGGCGAGCTGTCTATGAAGTTGGTAGACTTGGATTCGACGGAGAAGCCGTCTGAAGAGACGGAGGTGCCATCTGCAGCTCCAGAGATGCCGCCTGCAGCTACAGAGATGCCGTCTGCAGCTACAGAGATTCCACCTGCAGCGACGGAGATTTCAACGTCAGAGGCGCAGATTCCGCCGTCAGTGGAGAGAATTCCGGCTTTAGGGTCGGAATCGAGTGCACCAAGACAGAAGAGTCTCATTCAAAAACTCTTCGAGAAGATCCTGGGCGGTAGAAATAAGAATGAAGGAAAGCGTGAGATGTCCACCTACGCGGTTCAACGACAACTGAGCACTTTTGCACTTCCGCAAAGTCATTCGCCAAATGGTGTCAAGGACTTAAGGCAGGGAAATCCTGTGCGAGCCTTGGCCGGGGGGAGTTTGGAGATTAGTAAAATTCACTCATTCATTCATAAGGCTCCTGCGGAAGTGATCCTGAAGGAGGCGGATATGAAGACGCCCGTACTTTTCGCCAAGGAAACAAAGGATCTTACGGAAATAAAGGGTGGCACCACCTCCTGCGCATCGCCGAAGAAATCGCCACGCGATCTCCTGCGGGAGAAGCAGGATTCCAAGAAGATTAAGATTTTTGGCGGATCTGAGGAATGTGCCAAAAAGATGAAGCGGATCAAGGAGCTAGAAAAGGAAACTGATGACGACTGCGGCAGTGATCACTTTAGCATATTGCAACCTCTTAGCTAGCTTCGGGTAAGTTTTGCCTAGTCATTTTATTGGGGTGACTGAACTGAACCCAATTGACGCATGTATGTCTGTCTGCTTAAAAAACTTGACCAATAACCATTCCTATATACTCTTGTACTGTATATTAAACTGCTAGGCTTTATAATGTAATCTTGTTATTTATGAAGCTACATTTTTTATACCATTTAACTTGGGGAAACATTTACTTTCAATAAGCCTATAGTATTTTCCTGAAATTCGTAATAGTTTTAATATTTTCAAAACTCAACATTCTTTAATGTATAGTCTTAGTGCTCTATTATAGTGAAGCCTTTTCTTTGGCTGAGTTTTGGGGGCAAACAGAACGGAAATTCACAGAATACACATAGTGCTATTATCAGAGACCTGTTTGAATGTCATATCGAGGTGATTGAAGCCCAGCTAGCTATAGTCTATAGATTAGCTCCATTTCGCACGACATAGTAAAAATAAAAAACGTGTAGAATTCAGCGTCAATTAAAATTTTATACCACCCCGGAGCCCTGATAAGGTGTCACAAATCAGCGTCGGCTTTACTTTGATAGTATAAGTCTAGCGCCTACGCTGGGAAGTACTGAGTTTGTTCTAAAATAAATACAAAAATAAAACATTGACGGGGCTACTTTAGGTTGTTTGTAGGTCAAGACCAAAAGCTTTTACTAATGGGGCTCTCATCTCTCTATATATTTCCAGGTATCTATTAGAGATGGACTGACCTACCCTCTAACTCGTCTAACTGGACGATGGAATGGATTAAGAATGCGATAGATATGATGCCACCAATCTTTGGGCAAGCGAAATAGTCTGATCTATAGGATATTGCTGCCTAAATTAATGCAGACTTTGAATATTTTTTTCTCTTGAGAATCTTAAAAAATTAATTATTTTACCGAAATAATTATAAAATTTTATTTCAACATTCAGTACTTATACGGTGTATTTTTCTTTCGAATAAGCTAGGCTTCTGGGCTTTTCTTATATTGAAGGAGAACGGGCTGGGACATCGGAAATGGAAAATTCCTAAAACCTAAATAGAGGGGTTTAACTTTTTGTTGTATATATGTATATAGATTCTCATATAAATTAAGAAGGCTTTTAACTACTACTAATAGTGGCTGTAATGATGCCTTTGGACAGCTTCCAGAGCTCTCAGCTCCCATTCACATCCACCCAGCCTCATCCTATTCTAATATAAAACCACAACAAGCCATGAAACTCCTGTCAGCTAACTTCCCATGACAGGGGACACGTTTACTAGAATTCAGTGTTCGATCAGTTGTAGGGTTGAACACACCCTGAATTATATCTTCAAAATTCTCTTCAAAATTTCTTATTCCAAATTTTAGTTTTTAATTTAGGACTAACCAAATTTGTAATTAGGACAAAATGTTTAACAAGACTGCAGTAGTTCTCGGCAAGTGCACTAAGGAGTGCCTTCGCAGTCGCTGCATGTATCCAAACTCCTTTCTGCGTTCTTACCATTTAGCCAAACTCCAAAATAAATTCACGGGATATGCGGATAGAAAGCAGGACTACCTTAAGGTTCTGCCCAACTTAAAAGATACGGGTTGGTATTGCTCCTAATGAAGTGTACATTGTAATGATTGATTCCATTGCTGGTATAGGCATCCCACGCAATGGAAAACAGAATTTGGAGGATGCCTCCATCGGTGTAATCCACGTCCAGGGGCAAGAGTCTGCCGACCTCACCAGTCCAATGGAGCGCAAATTCCTGTATGATGACGAGATTCAGCAGGCCCAAAGGAAATGGCTGAATCGTTGGTTAAAGGAGGAAGAGAATGACAACGAAGATCTCGGAGCTCTGACTAAGGAGATAACTATGTCTGCTGCCAAAGATAAATCAGGAAAGGGCAAAAAGGATTCATGCAACAAAGGAGGTTCGGGCAAGAAAGATGCGGCCAAGAAAGGTGCCGAGCAAAAGAAGAAGTGCGAAGAAATGGCCCAAAAGGAAAAATGCGACAAAATGGCCAAGGAAGAAAAAAGCAAAAAAGATTCAGGTAAGAAAGGGGACAAGAAAAAAGATGCTGGCAAGAAAGATGCTGGCAAGAAAGATGCGGCTAAGAAAGATGCGGCTAAGAAAGATGCAGAAGTAAAGAAAAAGTGCGAAGAATTGGGCCAAAAGGAGAAATGTGACAAGATGGCCAAAGAGGAGAAAAGCAAAAAAGGTTCAGGCAAAAAAGAAGACAAGAAAGGTGATAAGAACAAAGATGCTGGCAAGAAAGATGCAGCTAAGAAAGAAGCAGAGCTTAAGAAAAAGTGCGAAGAATTGGCCTTAAAGGAGAAATGTGACAAGATGGCCAAAGAGGAGAAAAGCAAGAAAGATGCGGCCAAGAAAAAAGCCGAGCAGAAGAAGTGCGAAGAAATAGCCCAAAAGGAAAAATGCGACAAGATGGCCAAAGAGGAGAAAAGCAAGAAAGATGCGGCCAAGAAAAAAGCCGAGCAAAAGAAGTGCGAAGAAATGGCTCAAAAGGAAAAATGCAGCAAGATAACCAAAGAAGAAAAAACCAAGAAGGATTCAAGCAAGGGAGGAGACAAGAAAAAGGATGCGAGCAAGAAAGAAGCTTCGGGCAAGAAAGAAACTTCTGGAAAGAAGGAAGCATCGGGAAAGAAAAACGACCAAAGCAAAAAGGATCCCGCCAAGAAGGATGTTTCGGCCCAGAAGAAGGATTCGGGCACGAAAGCTGATTCGGCCAAAAAATCCGAAAAGGACAAGAAAGAAAAATCTACAGCTAGCAAAGATCCATGCAAAAAAGGAGCTTCGGGCAAAGAAAGTAAAGCAAGCATAAAGGATACCACCAAAAAGGATGCCGCCAAGAAGGATGCCGGCAAGAAGGATTCCGCCAAGGATGTTTCGGCCCAGAAAAAGGATTCAGGCAAGAAGGAACCTGCCAAGAAAAAGGATGCGGACAAGAAAAAGAACGTGAGCAAAAACGAAAATGCTGCCAAATGTGGTAAAGATGCCGATAAAAAGAAAAAAGAAGCCGAGCAAAAGAAAAAGTGCGAAGAAATGGCCCAAAAGGAAAAATGCGACAAGATGGCCAAAGAGGAAAAAAGCAAGAAAGATGCGGCCAAGAAAGAAGCTGAGCAAAAGAAAAAGTGCGAAGAAATGGCCCAAAAGGATAAATGCGACAAGATAGCCAAAGAAGAGAAAAGCAAAAAAGGATCAAATAAGGGAGGAGACAAGAAAAAAAATGCGGGCAAGAAAGGAGATGCAGGCAAGAAAGCAGGAAAGGATTCTGGAAAGAAAAGCGACAAGAAAACTGATGTCGTCTTGCCCGAAGGCAAGGAAAGAAAGGAGCTTGAAAGGAAGTGTGCGGAATTGGAGTTGAAATTAAAATGCCAAAAATTAGCACAAGATGAGCAGAAGAAGAAACTGATTATAAGGTGCAAGCAAATCGCCGAGCGTGTGATGTGTCAAAAGTTGGCCGAGAAAGAAAAATGCAAATCGGACAATAACAAAAACAAAGCCAAGTGAGGAAGGAAATTATGGAAGTGTGAAAAAATGGCCCATAAAAAGAGACGTCGCCGAGATGAAAAAGAATTTCAAAGTTTAAGCTAAGTTTTCCAAATTTCCTGTACAATTTTACAAAACCAATAACTTTATGGTTTTAGTTTACTTTGTAAATACATATTTTAAAATTAGTTTCATTCAGTACTGGGAGATATAGATACGTTCACATCTGCTGGCATTCGAGTTATCGGTACAATTTAAATAAAATAAAGGTCTACATATATATGTATACTCCTGATGCTTGAGGGGCAGCTACACTGCCGTACATAAATTTGTTGACAATTGCATTCTGGTGTTCAACTTTGGATTGGTTGGCTAAGAATTCTTGTTAATTTTGTCCCTCGTAGTAATAATAATACCTTCTGACAAATACTGGAAGAATTGAGTAAAATATATGTATAACCTACGTTGGATTAAATAACTTTTTTAGGGCGTCTTAAATTCACTAATTTCTGAATAATCTCTTTTTAAAGGAAAAGAAACCTCAGAAATTATTTAATCTCTATTTCTATAACTGATCTTGAAAGGCATTATCGTATAGAGTAGTCCTAACGATACTAAATACGCGGTTTTGTGCCTTGTCAAAAAATGAGGAAAATCTATATTTAAGCCTATATTAAATATATGTATTTAATTACCAGAAATTTTGCTATTATAAATTTAATAAAATATTTTTATATTCAGCTATAATTGGGCAATCTACTTCTTGGTTTTATCTCCGCCCTTCTTGGAATTATCTCCGCCCTTCTTGGATTTATCTCCGCCCTTCTTGGATTTATCTCCGCCCTTCTTGGATTTCTTCGCCTCGGCCTTTTTTTTGCATTCCTCTGCCTCAGCCATCTTTTTGCATTTCGCCTTCGCGGCCATAGCCTTGCACTTGGCCAGCTCATCCTTTAATGCTTTCTCTTCAGCTAATTTCCTGCATTTGTCTTTCTCGGCTAATTGCTTGCACTTTTCTGACATAACACTTTTTTTCTTTTCTTTCTTGTCTGCTTTCTTGTCTTCTTTCTTTTCCTTACTGCAGGGATCCCTGCATTCAGCCTCCTTTTTCTCCCTTTCTTTCTTTTCCTTTTCTCTTTTCTTCTTTTCTTCTTGTTCCTTGGCGAATTCTTCGCACTTCGCCTTTGCGGCCATTTCCTTACACTTCTTTTCCTGTTCTTTCCTCTTCTTGTCCTGTTCTTTCTTCTTCTTGTCTGCATCAGCCTTTTTGCACTTTTCCTTTTCGGCCATTTCATCGCACTTTTTCTTTTCCTTATCTTTCTTCTTTTTATCTGCATCCTTCTTATCGCCTTTCTTGGATTTGTCCTTATCCCCGCCTTTTGCGGACATGGTAATCTGCTTAATCAGATTTCCAACATCGTCCTGGTTCTTCTTTTCTTCCTTTAACCAACGATTCTGCAAAAGCTCTAGATCGTTAAGGAATTTTCGTTGCATGGGATTGACGAGGTTGGCAGATTCGTGGATCTGGACATGTATTACTCCGATGGATCCATCCTTCAACGTCTTGGGAGACTCATTGGGGCGTACATTCCGTTGGTCTTGAATGCCTACATCAGTGATGGTATCATAACAGGATACACAAGATTCAGAGGAATACTAACCTGCATGTTTAAAACTGGCCAAATGGTGGGAACGAACCAAGAAGTTGGGACGAATGACGCCGCTGCGAAGATAGCCCTTCGTGCATCGTCCAACAATTACTGCAGATTTCTTAAACATATTGTTCCAACAAATTTGGCCCAGACTAGTATTGTTGTCCTAAATTAAACCTACAAATTTTGTTGAGAATTTTGAAGATACTTCAGGAGGTAAACGTGTGTTTAGCCCCGAAAGCAGTCCAATTCTGAATTGAAACAAAAGTGTGCTTCTGGTCTCAGAAGTTGACTGACAGGCGTGTCATGGCATCTCGTGATTTTTTCAATAGGACTGGGATCCAAATTTCGAGATGGACTACGTAAATTTGTAAACCTAGCGGAAAATAAATTAGCTTGCATATTATTAACAGCCAAATTGCTTTTACCAATGAAAGCAATGCAGGACTAATTAGCATTACCCGTTGCATGCATCCAAGCGTATTTGCATTAAATGAACTTCAAAATTTTATTTTGGTTAAAATATTTTTAATAAACACAAATTTTTAACTATTGTAGATTTTGTATTTTAAAATTTGGTTCATATTTTATTGCACTTCATGGTCACCTACTTCTTGGATTTCTTATCGCCACCCTTTTTACATTTGTCCTTCTCAGCCATTTTCTTGCATTTTTCCGCCTCTTTCTTTTTCGCTTCTTCCTGGGCCATTTTGGCGCACTTTGCTTTTTCTTTCTTTTGTGCTGCTTCTTTGGCCATTTTAGCGCATTTTGCCTGTTCCTTCTTTTTTGCTTCTTCCTTTTTCTTTTTTGCTTCTTCCTGGGCCATTTTAGCGCATTTCTCCTTTTCCGCCATTGCCTTACACTTCTTTTCTTGTTCTTTCTTCTTCTTGGCCGCCTCTTGCTTCTTTGCTTCTTCCTTGGCCATCTGGTCGCATTTCCTCTTTTGGGCCATTTCAGCGCACTTTTTCTTTTGCTCGGCTTCTTTCTTCTTTTTCTCGGCATCTTTACCGCATTTGTCCCCGCCTTTAGCGCCCTTTGCTCCTTTTGCGGCCATGGTTATCTGCTTGGTCAGATTTTCGACATCGTCCTGGTTCTTCTTTTCTTCCTTTAACCAACGATTCTGCAGAAGCTCCAGATCGTTCAGGAATCTGCGTTGCATGGGATTGATGAGGTTGGCCGATTCGTGGCCCTGGACATGTATTACTCCGATGGATCCATCCTTCAGTATCTTGGGAGACTCATTGGGGCGAACATTCCGTTGGTCTTGAATACCTACACCAATGATTGTATCATAACAGGATATATAGGATTCAGAGCAATACTAACCTGCATGTTTAAAACTGGCCAAATGGTGGGAACGAACCAAGAAGCTGGGACGCATGACTCTGCTGCCAAGGCAGTCCTTCGTGCATCGTCCAAGAATTACGGCGGATTTTTTAAACATTTTGTATCGATTAAAATTTAAGCCAAAATTCAGGTTTGTCCAGACTAAAATTTTGGTTGTCCTAAGCTAAAAAATAAATTTTGAAGATAACTTGAAAGAATTCAGGAGGTAAACGTGTGTTTAGCCCCGAATAGAGTCGAATACTAAATTTCAATAAAAATGGTGTCGGCTAGTCATACGTTGACTGACATAACCATTTGTCATGGCTTGTTGTGATATTATTTTGAAACAGAACTGGCCACCAAATTTCGAGATGGGAACCAGAAAGCCCAATCTAAAACTAGAAAGTACCCATGAAGACGTGAGACAGACGTCTCCAACCACAAATATCCAAAAACCATGGGTAGCGACCTTGTTATATACTTTTCAATAGCATTTGGTTAGTGCTAAGGCTAAGACTCGATTGAGCCTTATCGGTTAAATATGGCTCAATCGAGTCTTAGTTTTTACAATAATTAAAAGAATATGCTCTATGCTTCCGTCCGTCTGTCTGTCCGTTTGTCTGTCGGACTGTACTTCCATTTCTACATAATTTAATAATTTTTAATTTTTTGAGCTATCTGAATGAAATTTTGCAGGTAATCTTACCTCTAGTCTCAATAGTATATACATATGCACGCTATATCGTATAGCTGCCATAGTGAGGATTAGGAAACTAATAGAAAACAGGAAAAGAAGCTTGTATACCCTTGCAGATAGCAATTGGATCATTAAGAATAGATCCAGAATTACCAGGAGAAATTTAAAATAATATATATTTATTTTAATAAAATTTCAAAAAAATTTTTATAAATCCTATAAAAAGACTATATTTTATATTATAAAATTTATAGATACATACATATATGCTAAACAAAAACAAAGTAAATTCCACTTTTATTACATTTAGCTATAAATATTACATTATAATTATATTATTTCTCTACAGCTTTTGATCGTTCCCATGGTAGTTAAAGGATATAGTCGTCCGATTTTTAAGAGATTGAAACCGAAATTATAAAATAATACAAAATGGCAATTCACCAGAGTTACTGAAAATATATTAAAAAGCAGGGAAGTCATCATGTTTACTATACATTTCGCGATCGCTTCTATGGCAGCTATATGTTATAGTACGTTCCGATATATATATTGTAGTGAGAATAGTCTAAAGACTATCTGTAAAATGGCTATATCGACTCGGCTGTTGATGCTAATCAAGAAATATATGATATTCCATAATTTAAGTTTGCTCGAAATTCCAGCCAAGTCCTGTTTAAAAATAAAATCCCAACAGGCCATGACAACCAGTTATGTCAGCCAATTTCTACGACCAGACGAACGCTTTAGTTCAAATTCAGTATTCGATTCCCTTCGGTGCTGAACACACGTTTACCTCCGAATTATTTCTTCCAAGTTATCTTTAAAATTTCGTATTCCAAATTTTCGTCTTTAATTTCGGAAAAAAATTTTATCTGAATAAAATGTTTAAGAAATCTGCAGTAATTGTTGGACGATGCAGCGGCGTCATGCGTCCCAGCTTCTTGGTTCGTTCGCACCACTTAGCCAGTTTTAAACATGCAGGTTAGTATTGCTCTGAATCATGTGTATCCTGTTATGATACCATCATTGGTGTAGGCGTTCAAGACCAACCGAATGTCCGCCCCAATGAGTCCCCCAAGCCACTGAAGGATGGATCCATCGGAGTAATAAAAGTCCAGGGCCACGAATCGGCCAACCTCATCAATCCTATGCAACGCAGATTCCTGAACGATCTGGAGCTTTTGGAGAAACGATGGTTAAAGGAAGAAAAGAAGAACCAGGACGATGTTGGAAATCTGACCAAGCAGATTACCATGGCCGCAAAAGGAGCAAAGGGCGCTAAAGGCGGGGACAAATGCGGTAAAGATGCCGAGAAAAAGAAGAAAGAAGCCGAGCAAAAGAAAAAGTGCGCTGAGCTGGCCCAAAAAGAGCAATGCGCAAAGAAGGCTAAGGAAGATGCAAAGAAGAAAGAGGCGGCAAAATGCGCCAAGATGGCCAAAGATGAAGCAAAAAAGAAGGAACAGGCGAAATGCGCTAAAATGGCCAAAGAAGAAGCACAAAAGAAAGAGAAAGCAAAATGCGCAAAAATGGCCAAGGAAGAAGCAAAAAAGAAAGAGGCGGAAAAATGCAAGAAAATGGCTGAGAAGGACAAATGTAAAAAGGGTGGCGATAAGAAATCCAAGAAGTAAATGACCATGAAGTGCAATAAAATATTATCCGAATTTTAAAATACAAAATCTACAATGGTTAAAAATTTGTGATAATAAAGACAATTACCTTAAATTAAATTTTGTAGTTCATTTAATGCAAATGCGCTTAGATTCATGCAAATACTATTGTAATTAAGGTACGCTTATGCGCGGAGGGGGTAATGGTATTTGTAACTAGGGAAGAGTCCTGTCTTGCTTTCGTTGACAAAGCCATTTGCTGCAAGGGCATAAATCGTATTAATGTGTAAACAAAATTATTTGCAAGTAGGTTTACAAATTTACGTAGTCCATCTCGAAATTTGGATCCTAATCCTGATTTAAAATTAAATCACGAGAGGCCATGACTCGGCTGTCAGTCAACTTCTGAGACCAAAAGCACTCGTTTCTTTTTATTCAGAATTGGATTGCTTTCGGGGCTAAACACACGTTTACCTCCTAAAGTATCTTTTCAAAATTCTCAACAAAATTTTTAGGTTTAATTTAGGATAAAATTGTATTCTGGACAAAACTCTCTTTTGGCTTAAATTTGAATCGAAACAAAATGTTTAAACGATCCGCCGTCATGTTTGGACGATGCACGAAGGACTGTCTTCGCAGCGGCGTCATGCGTCCCAGCTTCTTGGTTCGTTCCCACCATTTGGCCAGTTTTAAGCATGCAGGTTAGTATTGCTCTGAATCCTGTGTATCCTGTTATGATACCATCACTGATGTAGGCATTCAAGACCAACGGAATGTGCGCCCCAATGAATCGCCCAAAACTCTGAAGGATGGATACATCGGAGTAATACATGTCCAGGGCCACGAATCGGCCAACCTCGTCAATCCCATGCAACGCAGATTCCTGAACGACCTGGAGCTTCTGCAGAATCGTTGGTTAAAGGAAGAAAAGAAGAGCCAGGACGATGTCGGAACTTTCAACAAGCCAATTACCATGTCTGCCGGAAGTGACAAAGATAATGAAAAAATGTGCAAGGAAATGGCCCGAAAGAAAAAAGCCGAAAAGGATAAATTGAAAAGGAAATGCGCTGAATTGGCAGCCAAGGATAGATGCGCAAAGGACCAAAAGGAGAAAGCCAAGAAAGAAGCCGAAAAGAAAGGAGGAGACAAGAAGAAAGGAAAGGATAAGAAAAAGGGAGGAGACAAGACGAAAGGAGAGGACAAGAAGAAAGGCGACAAAAAAGTAGCGGACAAGACGAAAGGAGAGGATAAGAAGAAGAAAGGCGACCAAAAAGGAAAGGACAAGACGAAAGGAGAGGACAAGGCGAAAGGAAAGGACAAGAAGAAAGGCGATAAGAAAGGAGGTGACAAGACGAAAGGAGAGGACAAGAAGAAAGAAGATGACAAAAAGAAAGGCGATAAAGACATAAAGAAAAAGTGCGCTGAAATGGCTGAAAAGGAGAAGTGCAAAAAATTGGCCCAAGAAGAAGCAGAAAAGAAAGCGAAAGCTAAATGCGCTAAAATGGCCAAGGAAGAAGCGAAAAAGAAAGAGCTAGCAAAATGTATGGAAATGGCCGAGAAGGAAAAATGTAAAAAGGGAGCCGATAAAGATAAGAAATCCAAGAAGTAGGTGACCATGAAGGGGTGAAAAATTATCCAAAATATACAATATAATTTAATTTATTTCGATTTCTTTTATTTTTTATTATAAGTGGCCAATAGTCGAGTAACGTAGTTAAATAAGACTCTTGCTTTACTTGCTTCGTCCGCTTCTAAAGAATTTTGCACCGTAGCTCGTAAGATCATGAAAATGTATTACGTATACGCCATGTGTGACAAGGGTATGCGTTCGGAATTTACAATTTCGTTGTTTTATATTGGCCTGTTTTGCACCAAATAAACTTTGCCACGGTCTCCCCCTTAACGCAACTTGTCTCAAACCAACCAAAAGGTACGATTCAACAACATTTATGTTAGGCTAGTTTTACAAAGTTACATAGTCTATCCGGTATGATTCAGAACCTCGAATTGTTCCAGCTGTTAAAGCCTAACTCTCCGTTTAGCAGTAGATGCGGCGTGGCCTGGCAGCACTGGTAACCTGGCTAAATGGACAGGTTACCGGCGGCTGTGTGCGGAACGGGAGTCAGCACCACTGTTGGAGCCAATTCTTTTAGAGTCTGCTCCTCCCGTTGGCGCTCCTTATGTTGCTGTTCGGCTATCCTGGATTTCTCCTCCATCTCTTCCATGCGCTTGGCATTTATAGTTGTCTGAGCGTCCACGTAAAAGGCCATCATGTACTGGTTGAAGCGAGCGAACTTTGTGACACACCTGTCCAGGCACACGTCCTCATGGGTGGCAAGGATGCGCTGGTTGAGGTTATCGACGCAACGGCTGAAGCACATTTCAGTCACTTTGTTGTATAATGTGAGAAAATCCTTGAGATTACGCAAATTGGAATCCATTTCTAACGTCTTAATAATGGTAAATTTTAAGGTTTTAATTTATAGGCACGTTTTTAACTGGAAAAAGCCTTTTATATTTTAATATAAACAACGATTATAAGAGCACGACAGTGAGAGACGAGTCAAAGCTTATTTGTTCTTACAGTTTGAAATCAGGATCATAGAAACGAATGTGAAATCCAATAAGGAAATCAGTTCTGTGTTAGATTTTATTGAGTTAACAAATCAGCATATTGCGTTAAAATTTTTTATTTATTTAACTCTTGACAAATTTATATATTTTTTTAATTTTTTAAACATTTTTGAAATTTTTAAACAAGTTTATTGTTGTAACCCCGTATAACTGAACAAAATTGGTACTTTCTAGCAGACATGGCTAGATCGACACCACTTTTGATGCTGCCCAAGAAAATATATGATTTAGAAGTTCGAAAATAACTCTTCCACTGCATTGGAAAGTTCTGAAAATGGATTCTCAATGGAAATTGCCAACACATTTTCCTTGAAAAGCTGTATGATTTTTATAGAACATTCTTTTCCCGGTCTTATCATCACTAGCTGTGATGTAAACGTCAGATTCAAATTTCATATTTCAACTACAGTATTGTCTTTACACTTTCTTAGCCTCGTAGTTTGGTATCAAAATTCTCTGTATAAATTTTAGGCATATAAAATTTAAATTAAAAAAAAAATGTTAAAACGTGCCTCTTTGGCTTTGAGCCAATACCCAGCGGCCTGCTTACGTTCCTACAACTGTTACAGGTGTATCCGTCCCTACTCACTGGTCAAGCGCAAGAAAAACCCGGAGACCGTTCAGAAATCGGACCAGGAGCTACGGAAAACTCTGCGTAACGAGTGGATATCATGTATGGGTACGTTAAATCTTAAGTTTTGATCCACCAATCTTCGAGTATCTACAGCTGATCCTAAAATAAGGTACTAAATAATCTAAATTCTACATTTTTCTCTTGCTAATAAGCAAGTAGAAGGTCCAAAGTTCATAATTGTTGGATCTATTTTCCATTTCTATGGAAGACTGACCAATATATTCATTAAGGATTCAAGGATCACAACCCCTTCAACTTCTAAAGGTTTCTAAAACGCATAAAAGATCAATAAGATGATCAATACCACCCAAATTGAAAGCTCTTGATTAGAATTGAATTTAGAATTAGTAGAATTGTGGGCAGAATGTTATGATAACCATATAATAAATTATGGTATTTTAGGCACAACAAAATTATAAGTACTTTCAATAAAGTTATAACGCCCATTTAAACCTTACGTTTATTTCTATATTTCATTCTGAATAGGTACCGATGACGCCCCACTTGTCGATCAGTCGTATCGGTGTCCGTACCTGGCGGACCTCGAGTTGCAGCTGAATCGAAGAATCCTGGAAAGAGAATGTCCCGACCTTGAGTCAACTCAAAACCGGAAAGTCCTTCGCGAAACCGCTAAACATGCCGACGGATGCGACGATGGGTGTGGCGGCAGGGGCGGGAGCAACAGCGATGGCGAAAAGAAAAAGAAAAAGAATAAGAAGAAGAGCAAGGACGGAGGAAAGAAGGGTGATGGCGAGGATGACAACCAGAAGAAAAGGTGCGCCGCCCTGATCAAGGAGTTTGAAGACAAGGAACTAGACAAAATTTGCCGGAAAATGGCCGAAGCGGAACTGTGCAAGCAACTGCATCAGGAAGCTAAATGCAGGAAGATAGCTGAGGCGGAAGCGAGCCAGAGAAAGGCAGAGATGGAACAGTATATGAAGAGCATCAAAGAGGCGAGGGGAGAAAGCATAAATGAGAGCAAGAAAGGCAAGAAGGGCGAAAAGGGTGAAGGCGATAAGGGCAAAAAAAAGAGCAAAAAGGGTGAAAAGGACGAAGGAGAAGAAAAGGGCGAGAAAGGTGAGAGTGCTGAGAAAGCCGAGAAAGGCAAGAAAAGTAAGAAAGAAGAGAAGGAAGTAGAAGGCGAAAAGGGTAAAGGTGATAAGGGCAAAAGGAGAGAAAAGGGTGAAAAGAGCAAAAAGAGCGAAGAGTGCGAAGGAGAAGAAAAAGGCGAGAGAGATGACAGTGCTAAGAAAGCCGAGAAAGGCAAGAAAGGCAAGAAAAGTAAGAAAGCCGAGAAGGAAGTAGAAGGCGAAAAGGGTGAAGGCGAGAAGAGCGAAGAAAGCAAAAAGATCGAAAAAAGCGGAAAGGGTGATAAGGATGAAAAGGACGAAGAAGGCGAGAAAGGTGAGAAATCTGGGAAAAGTAAGAAAGGCAAGAAAGGTAAGAAAGCTGAGAAAGGCGAGAAAGGCGAGAAAGGCGAGAACGGCAGGAAAGGCATGAAAGGTAAGAAAGCTGAGAAAGGCGATAAAGGCGAGAAAGCCAAGAAAGCCAAGAAAGGTAGCAAGAAGGGCGAAGAAGGCGATAAGCCAAAGAAACCGCCAACCGAAGAGGAGGTGCTAGAAAACCTCACCAAACAGTGCCAAGAAATGGCCGACAAGGTGGAGTGCGAGAAGCGAGCCAAGATCGAGGCCATCAAGAGAGCCTATCGTGAGGAGATGGAGCGGGAGCAGTGCGCCCGAGAGGCGGCGGAGCGGGCCAAGCAAGAGGAGGAGGATCGAAAGAAAGCGAAAGAGGAGGCCAAACGGAAGGCCGAGGAAGAAGCAAATAAGATACCCGAAGACGACATCTGCGAGCTGAGGAAAAGGTGCGCCGAAATGGCCCGAGAGGAAAGGGCCAAGGCCAAGGCAGTCCAAAAGAGGCTCAAGTCCATGGCCGACAAGGTCAAGGCCGATGCGGCCAAGAAAAGGTGTCAGGAGCTGGAAGAACTTCAAAGGTGCCGCAAAGCCGCCGAAAAGCGAAAGGCAGATAAGGAAAAGGAAGAGTGCGCAAAGGCCAAAGCTAGAGCTAAAGAAGAAAAAATGGCTCCTAAGAAAGGGCCAAAAAATAAAAATGAGGCCAAAGAGGCCATTTGCAAGGCACTGGCTGACAAGAAAAAACCAAAGAAAAAGAAAGTGGACAAGTGCGCTAAACTGGCCGAGGAATCGGCTCCTAAAGATTCACCACCTCCCAAAGATGGAGCTCCACCACCATCGAAAACTTCAAAAGCAACACCTCCAGCTGAAAAGAAGGATTCCAAAGATAAACCTCCAATAGAAAAAAATCAAGCTAAATCAGAAGCACCTCCACCTGGAAATAAAGATGCCAAATCAGAAGCACCTACACCGGGAAAAAAAGATCCCAAGTCAGAAGCACCTCCACCAGAAAACAAAGATGCCAAACCTAAAGCTCAACCAGAAAAAAAAGAACCCCAAGCTGCATCATCTCCGCCAGAAAAAAAGGACTCTAAACCTGCTTCATCTTCGCCAGAAAAAAAGGACTCCAAACCTGCATCATCTCAGCCAGAAAAAAAGGACTCCAAACCTGCATCATCTTCGCCACAGAAAAAGCCTTCAAAAGAATCTGGAAAATCACCCAAAGACAAAAAATCTGATTCCAAAAATCTCTGGGCGATATGCAAGAAGTTAGCCGAACGGAAACTGAAGCTTAAGAAGAAAAAGATCAAGGAGCTGAAGGCCCAGTGCGATTATATTCTGCAAAAAGAGAAAAAGCAGCGTGAAAAGCAACGTGAAAAGCAAAAGAAAAAGGAAGAAAAGCTCAAGGAGCACTGCAAAAAACATAATGAAAAGGAAAAGGACAAAGACAAGAAATAGGGTTTGAACTATGCTATTAAACTGATTCCAAATTCTCAAGTTGGTTGCAAATAGTATTCAATACTCAGTTCAAATGCAATTTCTGCAGCGTGCGCTCCGTTACTTTTTCCTGAATATTTATGTTTAAATACGAAAATTGTGGTACATCCAAGCCCTTTTCTGGCTTACTGAATCCATACAAAAGAATGTTGAGCAGCACGTTGGAATTTACTTTTCGCGATTCACAAGTTTTCGCCTTACATTCCAAATTAAATAAAAATCTGTGTCTGAAATTAAATTAAATTATTTATGTGGACAAATGCAATATTAGCATTTACATATCTTTTGTGGGGTTTAAGATTTTACAGCATATTTAAGGGTTTGCTTAAACTCTTAGATTGTGCAAGTATTTTGGCTTTCGTTCTTGGACGGAAAGCTTTTTATTCAATAATAAATGCCAAGCCTAAACAAAATAATGAAAGAGGATAATTAAGAAAAATTCATAGGTTTCAACTTTGTTGTCATATCGCTTGGTTTGAGTAAAATAGGTTGCTTGAATATATAACGAATATCATGTGGATCGGCTTTGGAGAAATTTCTTCAGTGATTTGCTGGCGGTGCCGTGGCATTATTGAACTGGAAGGTCGGGTAGCGAGGAGCGAAGGCTCCGTCACCGATGATCTGCGTATGCTCGGAATCATCACGTCCTGCAATGGTCGGCGCTTTATATTGGGTCTCCACAAACTGCGGTGGTGCTGTAAATAAATAATATTTTAATTATTTTTGTATATAAATCATCTAATTATATCAGCAAAAGAAAATATTTCAATTATATTCAAAATTTCCATAGATTATAAATAATACTCACGTATATTGGGATAGAGGGAACCACCTCCACCAGTGCTATCAGCCACATTCCAGCCCAGGGCACCGCCAACACCTTCACCGGCCGGCGGTGGACTAGCCGGACTCACCGGCTGTGTTGGGGCCAGCGAGGGATCCACAGACTGGACACCAGCAGGAGCATCTGTAAACTGTGTTGGCGGCTTCACGCCCGCCAATGGAATGGTGCCCAGGGTGATGGGCACTTTACCGGTAAGATTGCGGTGCGGACCGCTTACATCACAGTCCACATGCAGGTCATAATCCAAGGCGATAATACCACAATTGAGGAGATTAGTTGGCGGCAGGGCCGGGATCTCAAGCTGCTGGGTAAACGTGCGCGATTCGCCGCCGTTCACTGGGCCAACACTCAAATTGGCTATGATCACCTTGGACTCGCGCTTCTCGCTGCGCGGCTGGTTCGTATGGAAGGTAACCAACTTGCGCAGCTCGAACTTGACGGCGGTCAGATTTACATTACTTGCGTTATCCACCTCACAGGTAATAGGCAGCACCTGGCCTGAAACATAGCCCGTTTGCGGTATACTTGTGATGACCGACAGCGGGCCGGAGCGACAGCAAAAGCAGCAGAATGACTTTTCCAGCTCCAGCTTAAAGGGTTCCTTGACGCGTGGATTGAGATTCAGATCGACCGGAGCAATCACAGTGAAGGCCATCTTCATGTCCTGATCGAATTTCCAGGGGCGATCTAAGGTCACTTTGATGGTGTAACGAACATGTCCAAATTCACCCTCAAAGGAGGAGGGCAGAGTTGGTGGCAAAGCGCAAGTGAAGGGATAAGTATGGGTGCCAGGCGGTAACTCGGTTTCAGAGCCTGTAATTAAATGGTTTATATATTTAACAAATTATTCAATTATAGCGCTATATAAGGGTACTACGGAAAAGCCTTAAAAAAGTCTTCAAAACAATGCTGAATATTAAAAACTAAAAACTATATTTTCAAACTAGATTTTAGTAAAAACCATTAAATAAATTGCACTTATACTCACTGTTTTTGCCACCCAGCAAATAGTACTGGATCTTAAAGTACTCCTCATGGCCCTTCAGCTGGGTAACTTCGTTCTCCGTCTTGCCCTCGCTGGTGGTCACATTCCGCTCCTCGGTCCATTCCGTATTGGCCTCGCCCAGGAACCGGATGATAATGCCTGAAACAAGGAACAAATGTCTAGTGCGTCACTGTCGCGTTATAATATTAGCTATAGATTATATGTAAAAGCTATTTGTCTCTCTTGCTCGCGACATGCCCAGAGGATGACATCATCGCCACCATTCAGCATCGCTGCTCTTCATGTTTGACGGCCTCAAAATTCGTTACCCACGGAATGTTTGTCACAAATACATAGGTCAAATAACTCAATTTATTAATAGAAAACCCCTATAAACTATTAGATATTTTAAGAAACTATAAAAGTATCTTCTAAGATTAAAGTCAAATAAATCTGGAAAGATTTCTAATCTATGGACTTTCACTGATATTCCTCACACTTGAACCTATTAATAGTTTGTTATCGCCTAACAGCGGAGAGGAGGAGAAAGTGCACTTCTTTTGGGGGTTCAACAACCGTTTGGTATGTGTGTGAAAACAAGGTCGTTTAAAAACTAGCCGCCCGTCCCACAGCGGTGGGTGGTGCACCGGCTTTTGATGTCAGATCATCAAAACAGAAAAACATATTTGATATATAACCCCCACTCTGCAATTAATCACTGCCCCCTGCAAAAATGTCGTCACTCCTATGAGTAATAAGACGCAGCTGTTTTTTTAATTAACTCTTGAAGTCCCCAACACAAAGTGATTTAATTCACTCTTACCTCGAACTTTTTTGGGCGAGTCAAAGGTGAATTTCACCTGCCCGTTGACTACCTGGCCGGCGTAATAGGTGTTCCATGGATTGTCCAACTGCACTTCACAACCCTTCAAACCCATAGTAGTTGAGATTCAGTTCAAATGAATTAAAAGTAAATAAAGACTATTTCAGTCTGTTTTGAAACGTTCTTTAGGCTAGAGATGGCAAAACACCGACGGTTCCATGGATAATATCGATAGCTTAACACTATCGACTGTCTTTAGGTGCGGTTGTTGTCATGGCTAACCTTTCGCAATTCTTATTTTAATTTGACATGTTTAAAAATAATTGCCTTTGTAAAAACTGCTTAAAATAAACAATTTTTAATTCGTAACTTTTTTTGATAAATAAGTCTTTATTGTACAACAAAAAAAACTTAGATTTTCCTCTTTGTACATATTTTTGCGAAGTCCACTGTACTCGTCGTGACTCACGCGGGCACACGCGAGCTCCAATAGTGCCATCACTATTACAATACGACAGCAAGAAGAAGTTTTTGCGAAAATTGGCTTTTCTTCCGAGTTTTCATTGATTAAACAACTCATATTATCTCCAAGAAGATGTCGCTTTTTCGCAAACCAAAGAAAATCCAGCGCCGCGTGTTCTCCAGCAATATGGACGAGGACGAGGGGCCACCGCTGGATCCGGACGCTGAAATGGAAGCGCCTCCGCCGCCCGTAATCTCCGGCAAGCGGGACAACAAAGAGAAGAGCCGAAAGCCCGCAAAGCCGCAGGACGACAACAGCAAGCCCAAGGCGCTGCTTAGCTTCGCGGACGATGGTAAGTGTGCTTAAGACTCCGGACACCGGCAAATCGCTAATCATTTGAAACCCCCACTTGGCAGAGGACGACGGGGAGGTGTTCCAGGTGCGGAAATCGTCGCACAGCAAGAAAGTGATGCGCATGCTGGACAAGGAGCGGCGCAAAAAGAAGCGCGAGGAACGGGCGGAGAACAGCCTCGGACATCTGCTCGGTGGCGAAAATGGTAGTACACAGCATTTAGAGTCGTCCAGTGGAGCGTCTTCGGGGTCAGCTCAAGCTCCCAACTCGAGTGCCGCTGGCAGATGTAGGAATACTGCCAGCGATCAGAGTAAAAGTAAAAAAAGTGATAATCATATGATCCAAACCGAAATACGCACAGACGACTTTGTGGTAAGGTTATTATTATTCAATTTCTTCTATTTCGCATAAATACCGTTTTAACGAAATAATTCAACATAAAAAAAAGAAAATTACACTTAAATTATGTAAATCTTAGAGCGATTAGAGTTAGTTACACCCTTAACTTGAATGAGTTTGTGTTTTCAAGTGTTTGGCCTTAGCTTAGCGATGATTAAAACCAAGCTGTAGTCTATAGTAATGGCTTAGTTTCCCATTTCCATAATTCAGTATATTCAGTGATGAGATTTATATAATTCCAAATTCCCTATTTTACTATACCTAAAAGTTATAAGCTCTTTTCGATAAGAAATTCATTAAAATTCAACATAAATACTTTGTAATCTTCATTAAAGTCATAGCTCAACATTTGTTGATCAGGAACATAAAAGAATATGTATATATTTATCGATAATTAAAGCAATTCGATATGAATTGATATTTCAAAGTTGCGATTTACCTCTACTATAATTTCGATAATATAGATCATTTAAAGTTAAAGGCGATTATTTTCGATAATTAATCTCTATATAAATATCGTTTTATCACATTCGAATATTCCTCGATATACCTCCCTATTACTGATCACTTAAATACATATAAAGAAGCAACTGTTAATTATATTATCGAAAAGTTGTTTGGGAAATTAGCCAATCTGTCCTCAATTCTGGTAATTCTTCCCACCACTGACTATAACCGCATGTACTCCCCTATAAAAAGCACGATTACTTTCAGCCGCACTCTGAACTAAAAAAAACACCTTAAGAAAACCGCCACCAACACGAATTTCACTTCCTTATCCCCACAGCTAGTGGTAAAGAAATCAGAGACACCCGAGGGAGTACTGAACGGTCGAGCTGCCTTATGTGCTGGGCGAAACGATATGAGCGACGAAGACGATCAGCAATCCGAGGATGGTGGTCAAGACAAGTCACGCCATCGCTTCTCAAAGCCAGAGCACTTGAAACAAATGCTGGAGAGCGGATCCATACCGGATGCAGCGATGATACACGCTGCCCGAAAGCGTCGTCAGCGGGCCAGGGAACAAGGTAAAATAAAATAAGATTCGTTAGAAACGTAATTGTTCACTTAAGTCTTTTTTCCAAACTCAAATTCCAGGTGCCGGCGACTACATACCTATTGAAGAGCCCAAGGAACCGCCCAAGCTTAGCACACGCCTGCCCTGCGAGGATGTGGAGGGTGACCAATCTGATGACGAGGAGCGTATGGATATGAACGATATAACCGGACGCAAAGAGCGCGAGGAGCGGCGCGAGCAGTTCTATGCCGTCGAGAATGATTGTATGTAGTGAGGAGATGCCAGTCCGGTTTTTTGGCCAAAAAGCTGACCCAGGCCAGAGATGCAGCAGTCCTTTAATATCTATCCTTATCCTTACTAACCTCTGTTCAATCCACTGCAGCCACCGACGAAGACTCTGACCGGGAAATGAACGAGTGGGAGAATCAGCAAATACGCAAGGGTGTCACGGGTGCCCAGTTGGTCCATGCACAGCACGAGACCGTCCTGTCGCGCTTTATGATCAAGCCTGCTACTCCAGCAGGAGGATCGGTTGGGAACGATGATGCGGATGCAGTGGCGCCGCCTCAACAGTCCACGTCCACGCTGCTGGAACAGGCCTACGCCAAGAGCTCTCTCGATCGCATCAATCTGGCGTCAGCTGTACGATCGTCGACGAAGGCCAAGAAGGAGAAGGCTAAGGCCACGGCGTTGCGAACACCACAGGAGATCTTTGCTGCCATCCAGTCGCGTCTGGGCGAGCTTAGGGAACGCTCGACGGATCACAGCGCCAGCATGGCCAGGATCAGTCTCGAGCTGAAGGCATTGAAGCTTCAGCAATTGGAGTGCCAGCAAAATGCACCAACGGCGGCGGCCAAGTACAAGTTCTACCAGGAGGTCAAGTGCTATGTTAACGACCTGGTCGACTGCCTGGCCGAGAAGACGCCAATGATAAATGACTTGGAAAAGCGATCGCTTCAGCAATATGGAAAGAACCAACGGTATCTGGTGAATCGTCGCCGCCAGGATGTCCGGGATCAGGCCAAGGAAATAGCCGAGGCAGCAAGTAAGATGGGTTTTATATTTCAAGAAATTAACATTATTAACAATACATTTTTGGATTTTTTTTTAGAGCCCATCTCCGCTGCTGCCCGTCGGGCACCGGAATACGAGGAGCAAGTTCGTCGTGCGGCTGAGCGGGAGGGTCGTAGGACACGTCGTCGGTGTGAGCGTGAACGAAACGACCTGCTCTCCTCACACCTGGATGGCATGTCCAGCGATGATGAGATCGCCGACCAGCAGCAGGAACAGACCGTGGCTTCCACCGCTCAAATGGAGTCACAGGCATTGGAGACCTTTGAGGACGTCACCGATGAATTCTCAAAAGTCGAGCTGATACTGATGAAGTTTTATGCCTGGCGTAAAACGGACATGTCCTCCTACCAAGATGCTTTTGTTAGTCTGTGCCTGCCCAAGGTATTGGCACCATTGGTGCGCCATGAACTGCTGCTGTGGTCGCCACTGCTGGACGAGTACGCGGATATAGAGAATATGCGCTGGTATCAGGCCTGCATGCTGTATGCCTGCCAGCCAGAGGAGACGGTGGACCAGCTGAAGAACGATCCGGATATTAACTTGGTTCCAGCGCTCATTGAAAAGATAGTCCTGCCCAAGGTGACCGGTAAGTATACCTTGAAAATTGCCTTAGTTACTGCCGATGTTTACGGTATAATATTTTTCTTCAACAGCTTTGGTCACCGAATGCTGGGATCCCCTGTCCACCACACAGACTCTGAGGCTGGTGGGTTTCATTAATCGCTTGGGCCGAGAGTTCCCGCTGAGCGGCACCAATAAGCAGTTAAACAAGCTGTTTGAGTCCATAATGGAGCGCATGCGATTGGCCCTAGAGAATGATGTCTTTATACCCATATTTCCCAAGCAGTAAGTCAAGTTTTGTCTAAGACCTGAATTTAAAGATGATCATCTTCTTATTTTCTTTCCAGAGTGCAAGAAGCCAAGACATCCTTTTTCCAGCGTCAGTTTTGCAGCGGCCTAAAGCTTTTCCGCAACTTTCTCAGCTGGCAGGGAATTTTGGCAGATAAACTGCTTCGAGAGCTAGCTATTGGAGCGCTATTGAATCGTTACCTTCTGCTGGCCATGCGCGTCTGCACGCCAAACGATGCCATCAACAAGGCCTACATCATTGTGAATACCTTGCCCACGGTCTGGCTGTTGCCCAACAGCGAAACCCTCAAGAATCTAGAGCTATTCATAGGATACATCAAGCAGACTCTAGAGAGCTGTGATGCCAGCAATGCACCAGTGTTTATGTAATAATTTGGATTTAATTTTAGGCAAGCACTTGAACTAATTTTATATTTCTTTCCACAGGCAATCCAGCGATAAGGCCAAGCAAATACTTCAAAGACTTCATAGTATTTAGAGAGCACCGATCGCCGCTCACAATTCAATCCTAACAATCAAATGAGCACAACCTATATAGTGTGTTGTTAGCAAATCCCTTAGTTATAAGAACTCGGCAAGGGTGTGTAAATATATATAAATCGCAGGAGTAAAGCTTGAGCTTACACTAAATTGAGAATTAGCCTGCCCTCCCAAAAAACCAAAATCAATCTACAAACAGTTTTCCTATCAAAAAACTCTTAAGTGATAAAGTGTGGAACTCTCTTTTGTATCCTTTACTGATAATATTTATAGGCGACCTCTCGCGTGCATAGCAATAATAATTAAAAAAAACTCAATTTACAAACTATACAAATGGTAACAATTCTAGGGGAAATCAAAAAAACCAATTTAAATTGACTGAAATGCTATGGGAAGAGAGCTTTGCTTGTTCAATCCGCCTTGGAGACGGAGGCGCGAGTGAAGTTTTGGGCCAGATCGATGACTTCCTTCTGCATTATCTGCAATTGTTCGTGGGCGATTTTTGAATCGCTGCTATCCGGCGATGCTTGTAGCACTTGCAGAACCAGATCTGAAATTAAATGTTCATGGATATTATTTATGGGAACACAAAAAACAGCCATCGGCATCCAGAAGCCAAAGAAAGACAAACTCACCGTGATAGCGGAGCAGCAACGCGTTTTGCGACTCATTCAGTGATCCGCGGATGTGCTGCAGAATGGCAGAGACGAACTTTCCAGACGCATGCAGAATGCAGCCGCTTATTGTGGTGAACAGGATCAGTGCAGCCAGATGCAACATTAGCGCTGGCTCCTGGCACTCTAGCAGCTGTTCCTGCAGCTTCTTCTTGTGGTCAGCGATCAGCAGACGGTCCTTCTTTTTGTCCACCTTCTTGATGATCATGCTGCAGGTCTTAAGCACCGCTTCCGTGGCTAGCTCAAAATCATCGATTGTCCTGTTCAGAGCCTTATTTTGTTCCAAAAGAGCAGAGCGGTACTGAGCATCGCACTCCTGCGCCAACTTATTGCGCTGATCCACATTTAGGTTTGTATTTTTCACAGTCAAATTGCACTCGCTGGCCACATAGAGTGAAAGTTCGTTGCTGATTTCATTGCCCAAAGACTTGAGCAGATATTTAACCAGCTGCGACTGTGTATCCTGCGGGAAGAGCTTCAAGCCCTTCTCATAAAGTCGTATGTCTATCAGCAGCGTATTGATGCGATCCTGGATGGCGGCGTGCGTCTGGCGACGATTTGTCTGCGGTGTGGCTTCAAACAGTTCCTGGGCACGGGCCAAAGCCGCCTGATTAAATTGGCTAGAGTAAGAGGAATTACAATTATATAGTGGCTTCTCTGGCGAATATTAACTCTACATACTTTGTATACAATGCAGCAATGGATTTGGCCAGGTGCTCCAATCCCTCCTCCTCCAGACTAGCAGTGATTAGTTTCTCAATGTCCCCAGTCTTGACCAGGGATAATGGCTTAACAGTCTTCTTGTTTCCGGCACCACCACCTGCAGGGGCAGCATCATCCTCGTCATCGCTGTCGTTCTGAGCAGCAGCTGCTGCCCTGCCTCGTTGATGCTTCTTCGTTGACTTGGTCTTGGTCTCGCGTCCCTGAGCTCCGCCGCCTGCTTTGCCCGAGGCCGCCTTCTTTCTTCGCTCATCTCGCTTGTCAACCTTGCCATCATCCTCGAGATCCTGAGCCGAGGCATTACCTTTCTGAGCCAACGTTTTCTCCACAATGTGTTGCTGGTAAACGCCGCTCTCAATGGCCGTTTTCGCCTGGGACTCGGCCAGCGCCTGGCAGGGCTGGACCAGTTGCGTGAGGTACGGTTGCGAGAAGACTAAAAGATGGAAAATCGTTAAATTGTTGCACTCGAAGATGAGGAACAATTACTTACCGATGCTGCCCAGGTACACAAAATTGCTGGGGTTGCTGTGCTTCTGGGCCATGATGGCGCCAAACACCTCCTCAATGTCCTCCTCCGACAGATTGGAGGGAAGAATTGTGGATAGATCCAGGTACTGCTTTGTGGCACTGCATTCGTTCAGGGCCGTGACCACCGTCAGTTCCACCAGGCGTGCTCCTAGCGCCACGCGCTTGAGAAAGAGAAACTCCTCACTGGGGAATTGCTTTCGGATGTAGGACTTGGCATCCGAAATGCCCAGCTTGTGTATGGCTTCATACTCCAGGAAACTGTTCTGCTTGTAGAACGAGTTGACCCAGTCCGCTTGAGTCTTGGCGTAGATCTGGGGCACATACTGGGCATTGGCCAGCTTGGAGGTCACCTGCCCAGCCGGCGAGATCTCATCCAGCAGGGAATGAAATATCTTCTCCTGTACTCCAATCTGCTGCAGAATTACAGCCACATTCGTGGGCCTGGTGATGGCTGCCAAAGCACCACGTATCTTCGCCTTGCAACGCTGGATGTAGGCCTGCGTAAAGAACACACGCGGATTGGTGGCATCCTGTCTGCCCTTGATGATCCTGCCCAGATGCTTCTCCACCACGTCCTGCTGCAGGAAGTCCGACGGCAGATCGAACTGGGAGGCCAACTCCGATATGGAGATCTCACCCCGCAGCGCCAGCTTCTCGTTTATCTCCTGGGCAATGTGCGCGATGTAATCTTCATCAATGAGCTGCCCCAGCACGAGGTGTACACTGGGGTTCTCCGCCGCTATCCGCTCGGCCAATCCGACGATCCGCGACAGATCCACGTTGAGCGTTTTGCTGACCTCCACCAAATTGGCACGACCTCCGTTCACATACAGCTCATCCAGGATTTCGCGCTCCAGGTGATCCGGTGTGATGTACTCTTTGCCATCGTTGGTGAACACCACCTCCAGCAGCTGCTTCTCCAGCAGCAGCGTCACAATCTCCACGCAATTCCGCTCGGAGAGCCTTCATGAAAGTAAATATGGAAAGTTAAATGTAAGCACTTTAGTTTGCCGCCTCCAACACCCACTTCTGCAAGGTCGACGTAAGCTGAGCCTTTTGAAAATCGGCCGCCAGGCGCTTAATTTCGTCCCAATCGTTGCCCATTTTTGTTATCAACAGAAAAGATACGGAAAATCTACAATTTCAAGTGCAATGTGAAAAAACCTGAAACGTCAACAAAGTCCAGTCTAGAGCTGGGAAAAATACGATTTCAGCACCAATACATCGATTGTTTTAGTTTCGATCGATCATCGATGGGTACCCCTTTACTTTTTTCCCTCTCTAATAGCATATTCACACTTATTATCTATGTTCTAACCATCTGACCATAAATGAATGACCTTTATTTATATCCGAATTAAGCTCGTATTATTATCAGAAATGTTAAGGTAAATTGTTTATTTAGGCATTACAAAATACATTGACAGTCGCTTTGATTATTGCTTTATTAATTATTAATTATTTTATTCATAAGATATTCATTTTTCTGTAGGTATTAAGAGGTTACAGGGAACTGATCATCAAATCTAATGATCTCATGTATACTGTATTTGATGTAATGCAACTGCTAGGGATATTAGGCCCGAATGCTGTAGGGAGACAGGAATTAAGATTTCAATATCCATTTTCAAAACGTAAAGCCCTTACCTTTTTAAGATGAGTCGAAGCGTGCTGCGCTTTAAAATAAATAATACAAAAATTATGATCCCAAACGACGCATCAAAGTACAAGTTTATCCACATGACCGTCTTCTGGGCATCGCCCTCAGTCATCTTATAAAGTATATTCAAGCTCCACGTCAGGGCCATGATGCTAAACAGCCGCAGAAGCATTAGGAAACTGTAAACGGGTTGTGGAATGAAAGAAATTCAGAATGCAATTAAAATCCTAAATTAAATTTGAGTTTACTTCTTATTGTCCGATTTTAGTTTTGTCCTCCTCTCGTCGTTGGGGTTGAACTTCCTTATATCACGCCTAACTTTTTCAATGTGAAAGGCCGTCAGGGTAAACACAATCACTCTGTAGCAGAGCTTGCAAAAAACTGTCGACCGTTTCTAATTGTCTGCATATATCTGTCTCTCTCTCACTCTTTACGAAAAGACTCAGAGAGCACCAGTTCATGAGTTCTTGGAATCAGCTCGCGCGCGTTCAGAGCGAACTCGTTTTTTTCTATTCTGCTTTGTTTCGGTTGTCCCATGAACCGTGGTCAGTGAACAAAAGTCTTTTGCGTATGTATTGGTATACATTCACACGCATAGGCAAGCAAATCGTTAAACGTTTAGTTGCGATTTAAAAACAAAATTGTCTAAAACTTTTCTATTCTTTTTAATAGCATTTTGTTAAATGGACACTTGTTCACAAAAATAAATAAAAAAAAAAAAAAAAAAAAACAAACAAAGGTGAAGACCGTTCGCGCTGAGCTGTTCGGTCCCTTGGTCTTTTGCTGGCTCTCTGTGTGCGAACGTTTCTCGTCCCGCTCTTTACGCACGGCTCATTGAAAGGCCGAAGCAAAAAGAGCTCAACGAAAAGCGTTCAACAAAAAACCGAAATGAAGACAGCAAAACTCCCTTGCTCTGAACGAGAGCGAGAGAGTATGATCTTTTTCGGTTTTGCTCGCACCGAGAGCACAGGAAAAACCCCGTCGACAGTTATTTGCAAGCTCTGCTCTGTAGGCATCCATCAGTGACCTTGGAAATTGAACGTAGATAGTCTGAGCTTTGCCAAAGAAATCCAACCAGCATCCAGTTACGCCAACGCCGGGAAGTAAAATTGAATACCGATCGGTTTTAATATAATAATCTAAAAAATAGATTACTGCCGTTAGGGTTGCCGCCATGCCCCAGGCAAATATGTTGTAAACCAGGAACATGTTTCCGGGATTATAACGATTTACAGCTTTTAATCCTTTCCAAACATTATGACTGAAGACAGTGCTCCAGAGTTCAGCTGCCATTACGAAGAAATAGGCTGTGTAACCTAGGACTCTACAAAGGCCATTTAGTTTTAGTAATTCGTCGGTATAGAACTGGTAAAACAACCAGTATACGTCAAAGACAAGCCGACAGAATAAGATGAATACAAGACACATTCCGAGGTGATTTCGAAGCTTATTTACATAAAGATACACTGTGATCGTTAGGACCATGCAGATACACGAGGAAATCCTGACTGGATAAGATAGAGAAAAATGTAAATACATAATTTCAATACTTGGTTTAAATCTTATAATTACCCAAAGTAATCAACAGGACCGTGTCCATGATCACAGAAAAGGTATTGACTTAAAGAGGGTTGACGAAAGCTTATGAAGACCCTTTAATGCCGACAGAAAATCTTGACTGCACTCAAACTCGATGGTTTCACATATATTTATAAGATTTTTCAATACTGCAATTTGCATTTTATGTTATCAAACAATCGTAAATGTTTCCCGGGGTACCCCACGTCGTATTCCCTTACATCCTGTTAGTTGTACCCTTTTAGAGGGTATTCAACTTTTAGTCTGGAGTTTCCAGTGAAAGAGTGATTTGCGACCCGTTGCAAACCTTAAGGGTATACAATTTTCGGTTTATATAATAAGTAATGTTAAAGAGTTTATCAACTTATATAAAGAAATTCCCTTATTGACATTTGAAGGCTTTGCAGGCTACACAAATACTGATTTTAAATAAGAGGCTTAGAAGTAAAAAAAAGTTTATATAATTTTAATTTATAAAGAAATTAATTTTAAAGAAGATATATTTTTAAGAGGTTTTTTTTTTATATATATTTTTGAATACTTTTTATAGCATAAGTTTAAAAATGGCCGGGTAGTTAACCGGTTTTTTCAACTGAAAACAGCTTTTCCATACAAACTGCTAAAAATATCGACTAACTATCGCGATACTTTGCCGTTATTTTCAGTAATTCAGTCCAGTCGTCAAGGGAATTCCATAGGTAAAATCCTGTTAACGAGCTTTTACTCTCATTCTGGGGAAATCCACAGACAAATTTCTGTTAGCTCTCGTTTTAACAGAAAATTCTGTTAACGAGCAAAATTCTGTGATCGAGAGAATTTCTATGTTACAACTTACAGTTTGAAATTCAGAGTGACCAAGGAGGAAATATAAAAAAATACCAATTAAAATATCGCGATTTAGTGATATTTTGATATATAGACAACCCTAAATTCAACCGTTTTCATCTGCAACACTGGTTTCTCCACCTTACGGATTTAAATTCAACCGTTCATTTGGCGAGGTGCGTCGTTTTCCGCAGCGAATTTTTGTGAATTTCTACGTTAAGCTACGACTGCGTACCGTTTTCGAGGCTTTGCCCAGGTAAGCATGGATCTAAAAGTGCTAATTAACTAAACCAACTTCCGGTGGCCTGCTCCTCCAGGAGGACCCGAGACAAAAATCAATAATTTCGGCAGACCAACACATTTCGCTAGTGTCGTGGAATTTCAGCCTCCGGGCGCAAGCGCTGTCTGTGTACGTATATGAGACGTGTGTGTGTGTGTTGCAGCTGCTTTAAATTTTATTTTAGCACAGCTGCCATATGCATTATAAATAACATCCTCTTTATTCCCGGTTTTGTGTTCCACCTCTCTTGTCTCTTTCGCTCTGCCTTTGGGCAGCCATGTTGATAGTGCTTTTCGTGTTCCGCTTTGGTCCGTCGCTTGCATGCACCTAAAAACTAGCTGGAAGCAGTTTAAACCGAATTTTAGCCAGCGGACTTAGCATAGAAGTTGTTGCTGTTTTGCTCGGCCAGTTTCCGTGTGCATCGCCAAGTCGGAGATACATTTTAAGTAGGTCTCCGCCGAAACTGGCTTTCGGTCCGTCCTAATGTGTTTTGTCCATATTTATTTGGTCAACAAGTCTGGCAATCGGCAGATAGGCAATAGCAGAGCGAGCGAAATGGCGAGAGGGGCCTACAATTTCAAGTTATATCCAGATTGCTCATTACTCATAATTTCTACGAAAATACCATCACAGAGTCACCGTCAATGTGATTTACATGGACGGAGTACATGACCTGTGTGTGTTGGAGCCGGCAATCGCTTAAGGGAAACAACAACAACTTGTACGGCAGTAATGAGGAAAATGCCCTAAACCTTGCCAAGTCGACTTCAGAATACCCTTCAAATTGAGCTAGCCCAGCATAAAGTTCAGAAAAAGTCAATGTAGCAGCAAAATATAATGGGAAAATGTACATAACCCCTGTAAGGGTATGGAGAAGGGAACTCGTCAATCAGTCTCTCTGTTATTGGCTTTTATTTGCCGCTCCAGTATTTTTTTGCCCAGGTGGAAAAAGCGCTTAACTATGGGAGTCGCAATCGAGCCGTCTAATCTAGAGATCTTTGACTCGGCGAGGTCATTCACTTTGCTTTGTTTTCCCATGTCCAAACACAGCATAATTGTGCGTATGTGTGGGGCTTGTGCGAGTGTGTGGGTGTTGCCTCTGACAGCTACCCCAAATGTGATACACCCCACTGGGAATAGGAGTGGAGGGACTGGGAATGGGTGGTATGCGCCTCCCCCAGCGGATGACGCATCATTGCAAGCGTTTTTGCGGCACTTGTGGAGAGATGTCATCGTCTCATAGCGACCTCTTTTCCATTTTCCCCGAGTAAAGCTTAAACGGAAAAAGCAACAACTACAACAACAGGGTTTATTGGGCTGAGAGAAACGCAAATAAGCAAAGAATTATATTTTAAATATATTTTTAGATGTTCTTTTCTATCTTATTGACAAGTAATACAATATTTTTAAGTGTTTTGACCATAAAATATGGCAAACGCTTATAAAAACATTGTAATTACTGCGACTAAACAAGTAGTAAATAAAACTAAAAATGCACTGAAATCTGCGATGACCTCATCTGGCTTGTTCCGACTTTTTAGTCACTGTACCCCTCATATTTGCAGTAAAAATCGTATGATTCTAACCCCACTGTGCCAATTCTTGACACCAAAACGAAGAAGTTAACAACAAAAAGAACAACAAAGAAAGTGCGGCGGCAACAAAGCGCGCAATTACAGTTAACGGCAAAGTGTAGAGAGAGAACGCTCCACCAGCGAAAACATAAAGAGGAGCAGCCGATGAATATCTATGTGAGATAAAGCAACAAAAGCCAAGGGAGACAAACACGAGGGAGCGGGAGTTTTAGGGGCAGAACGAATGGGTCTCGTTTTCACTCCATTCCGCACACAGTCACAGAGTTCCCTCAGTGGGGCGACGCCGACGTCGGGCGTCATTGTGTCGGCCATATCCGCAAGTGGCGTAACTAGATTTCCCCCCCGGCCAGAATCATTTGTATGCCAGGCTACTACTCTCTCGTATTTCCAACCGCATCTGATTCGCTTTTCAATTGTTATGCATTGCAGCTACAACCGCCAGCACACCAGCAACGACAAAATGACTTCCACCGAGCTGAAAATTGGACTGACCAGCAGCGCACGTCCCTCTAGCCGCGTCCTGAAGCCCCCGGGTGGCGGTCACACCAACATCTTCTCGGAGCCCGAGGTGGCCGTTAATGCGCCGCGCGCCAAATACAATCAACAAAATTCCTCGAATCTCAACGCCTGCATGGGCTCCACTGACCCCAACAAGGTGGTGGAGAAGCTGCGCGAAGAGGTGACCACACAGAAGGAGGAAGCCAAGTCGGCTGCGCCCAGTCAGGCCAAGTCAGAGGCGGCAAGCAAGCCGGCGGCTGCCACGAACGGAGAGGCACGCGGCCGTGTCCCACCTGGTGGATATTCCTCGGGCGGATTCTGGTAGACTGTCGGAGGAAGAGGAGCAGTGGCAGCTGCCAAGCATTTAATGACTCACCAACACATCCTCAGCCCAACATAAACCTATAAATATAACTCGCTTATAACATAACATATACACATACATATATTTAGAGTCGCATTATCTATATTCATACGCAGATCTTCTCGAGAAAGGAAACTCCATTTGGTTTTCCCTGTTCTTCCTCATCTCTTTTGTCCCTAAACGTAGAATGTTTAACACGTCTAACGCAATTGTTGAAAAATTTAACATTAACTTGTGATTCCGCCCCATGAAGATTCTGGATTGACTATTTGCTAAACTTCTACCACCCACCACCGACTACTACCGCAGTCCAATTTAGCATTTGTACTTAAAGTGTGTCCAATTGAAACTTCTAAATAGTCTGTAAACTTTGTCCAACATGACCTCCTCTTTTATAACAACCATCTATGTATTATTCAAAAATAAAAGATTTAATAATTAAGTATCGCTCTCTTTTATTGATGCAGTTTTAAGGTGGGAGGCTCTGGAGTCCGCCCGGTAGCTAAACAATAAACTACTAACCTAGTGAGATGATGGGTGGGGGTCAGAGAAGACAAGTTTTGGTTTGGTCACGAAATTAATTCTAGTATTTTTATTACACTTCAGTTTAGAATTACAGGCGTGTCCATTAAGTCGTAGTCGGTTCGAACCCGTTGTTGTTAAAGCGTATGTATTTATATTAAATACAGCATCAAATGTATTCAAGTTGGTCGACCTATCCAACTAGTCGCCATATATATGTATATATAACTAACAATTAAATGGATACATGCGCCATCGGATTGGGAACGATCCCACTTGCTTGTGCGCGGCGTCATCGTCGATCCGGATGTGTGTTTCTTGTAAAATTCTGAGACTGTCCATGTGTGTGTGGCTGGCTTAAGACTAGGGATTGTGTGTTAATGTTTTTCTTGATAGACTAATTCAGACTATTGGCTAATTTAAATCTTCATGTCGTTGATGTAAGAGTCCAGTTCGGCGTCCAGCTCCTCGGCAGTGGGTGGGGCCTTGCGCTCCCTTCGCTGGCCTCCGCCGGCGGCGGGCTTGCCCCCGGCCGGACGCTTAAATCCTCCGCGACGCGGTGATCCTCCAGCTTGTCCACCTATAAAACACAGTTTGCAGAGGGAAATGTAAGGATTGAAGGATTGGATGGGATTGCTACTATCAAGGACCGTGTAATTGCTAACATTCTTTTGACTCTCCATTGTAAAAATATAATTTGTAAACTGCTTTGCAACATTCATCAAAAACTTTTGAACTATTATGTCTAAATGAATTACAAATAATTAACAAATTTTATTTATCATAACTAATGGTTAATTCATTATCTGCGCCTGAGGCATAATTGTCGTTTAAGGGAGATTCTCGGAAATTATTTTAAAAAGCTACTGTTTCAGTGCTAATCTCCTTATAAAAATTATATTATTCTAAGCAAACGTTTGTATACTAATATTGTTATCAAAAATGTAAAGTTTTAAGGCATTATGTGTTAACTAATTTGTTACATAAAAGTTTAAATATGCATTTAAAAATCTTTGTGGAAGCGCATAAATCCAAAAATGATCTTCATGTTGTTTTGTTAATGGATGATTTTTCGAGTTAAAAAAAAAAAATAAATAAATAAAAAAAAATCCATTATTCACGGTCCCCGATTTAAAGGTTTGTGGATACGCACCACCACGCTTGAATGGAGGAGCCGCTGCACCGCCGACGCGTCGCTTCACATCGGTCGAGGGCACGGGGCGTGTCAAGGCGGCCACATCGGAGACAGCTAGCTGAATGGTCATGGGACGCCCGTCCAGAGGGACGCCATGGTACTGTTTGATGGCCTTCAAAGCGTCGGCGCGACGCTCAAAGATTACATCAGCTGTGCCTGTAAAAGTAACGAGGTAAAAATAAGGGTTAAATAGTGAAATAAGAACCATCTTTACACTAAGCTAATTTTTGTTAAAAAAAAATATACCGAGTTCGTTATTTTATTCTTGTAGTTTCTCTATTGCTTAAAACTCACCCAATGAGCGACCAGAACGATCATAGTGCACTGCCGCCTTCTTCATTGGCCCAAAGTCGTTGAATAGCTCCTTGATGTCAGTGTTGGAAACGCCGTAGTCCAAGTTTCCAACGATGAGGCGGGTGGGTCCGGATCCTCCGGCAGCGGCGGAGCCCCGCTTGGGTCCGTCATACATATCATGCTTCCATGCGCTGTTTACATCGCCCTAGAGGTGGGGGTAGTATTAGGTAGAAGGGTATGTTGTGTTTGTTGGTTCGATCACGCGATGCGTATCAAATGTTTGGTGGGATTAGCAGTGGCAGCAGTTGCATCGTATCCTAGCCTCAAGAGGACTGCCAAGAGTGACAGGAGAGATTCACGCGAAAAACTGGGAAAGAGAATGGACTCAAAGCGAAAGCATATTGCTTAAGCACGGTCTTGGTTTGGTTTAGTGTTCTGTAAGAACGGGGTTAAGGGGAACTTTAGGCGTCGCTGGCGCTTGAAGATGCGAGGTCGGGGTCGTGGAAAATCGTAATGCTGATCTGTTCCGTCCGTGGAAGGCCTTGGCACCGTTAGCCGCGCCATTTTGATTTCTGCATTCAGCCTTCCCAATTACTTGTATTTGTATTTGTAGTGGTGTGCGTGGGTCATGGGTAGAGCTTAGTTTGGCCTTGTCCAGGTGAACGCATGGATATTATGCTCCGGCTGCTCCGATTATGCCCAGTGACTCCTCAACCCGAGTCGAAATGCTTTGAATTACCCGTGCGAACTTGGTCTTCTGTATGACGCCGGCAGGAGCTCCACGACGACCCTTGAGCACGCCCCCCGCTCCGCTTGCTGGTGCTGGCTTCCTGGGCGAGCCGCTGGCACCGCCGCCGCGACGACCGCCACCAGCTCCGCCACGCTGACCGCCAGGACGACGGGCGCCACCAGGACCGCCGCGAGCAGCACCTCCTTGCGGCTTTTTCTGTGAGCGGCTGGACTTGATGATGTCGTCGAGGCTCATTTCGATTTTGTCCACCATTGTGCTGCTGTTACTGTGTTTTCCTTGCTACGGAGATCTCTTAAAGTCGGTGGAATAGGTGGCTCTTTAGTGGCTACTAAAAGGACGCGCAGAAATATCGTTTTTAGTCGAAAGAGCGCGTGGAAATTTCACAAAATGCTGCAAAAAGAAATCACTCGGCCGCCATATTGTATATGCGAAAAAAAGTGTTGCACAGTGTTTTTGGACTTCGGTATTCGAGTTATGGTAACACTGTTTTTAGTATTTTTATGTAAAAGTTCAGATTACGGGGGAAATTTTAATAGATTTAGCTAAAAATATAAAGTTAATAAATAAATAAAGGCGAAAAATTAACTAACATAAACCTTAAAATTTTGCATCTCGAAAAATAAATTTTTCTGGTCTTTTTAAACACTGTTCTGTGCAGGAACGTAAACGACTTGGTCACTCTACACATCTTAATAGTTGTCAAATTAAAACATTCCTAGTAACAACAATTTGTAATTTTTAATATGTTTATTGTTGCCGTCACTGGGGGCATTGCTACGGGCAAGAGCACCGTCAGCAAAGTGTTTGAAAACCAGGGCATTCCTGTGATAGACGCTGATAAAATAGCCAGGGAGAGTGAGTTCAAAGTAGAGCACATCCGCTGGCAGTCATTCCATAATTAACGATCTTTTCCGCCGCTAATTGTCGTTACTTATTTTTCATGTGTAGTTGTGGAACCAGGTCAACCATGTTGGCAAAAGATTCGGGAAATTTTCGGCGATGAAGTGCTGTTGCCCAGCAAGGAGATAAACCGAGCCGCCTTGGGAAAGATGATCTTCGAGGATAGGGAGCTGCGTGGGAAGCTGAACAAGATCACGCATCCTACCATTCATCGGAAGATCTTCTGGCGGGTGTGCAAGCTGCTGGTCACGGGGCATGCTTGGATCGTCCTCGACCTGCCACTTCTCTTCGAAACCGGCATCCTAATGGACTTTATACACAAGATTGTCTGTGTGTCCTGGTAGGGATACGATTTATTTTCTTTGTTGCTCAAACTGTTTATGTACATATTTTCAGCGATTCGGAGAAGCAGCTGGAGCGACTGATTGCCCGCAACGAGCTGTCGGAAACAGAGGCACGGCATCGCGTTGAATCGCAAATGCCGCTGGAGAAGAAGTGCGAAAAGTCCCACTTTGTTATTGACAACAACGGCGATAAGGAGGATACTGAAGCCTCTGCAATGAACATTTATAACATGATGTGCGAGTCCAAGCAGCACTGGCTCAACCGAATCAGCTTTCTGGGCATCTTTCTGGTCGTGTGCTTTTTCATATACCTAATGCTGAAACTGTTCAATCGGCTGCCCGAATCCTGGCAGATGTAGAGTCCCGCCCATCAAAGGCGTTTGTGCCATTGTGACGCTATTTAACGTGTTTAATGCAATTGAAACCAAACCCCATAAAAATTGGGGTATTCCCTGTACAGAACTAAATGTCTGAAAATATCGGCAAAATTACCTAATAATCCGGCTAAATAAATAGCCGATATGTCTGGTAGGGATTACCCTGAATAACTAACGCTTGCTAGTAAAATATATACACAAAAATCACTTGTATACTTTGTGCGTTTTGTATTTAACCAAATGGGCGGACATCGCCTTGAATTTACAGCAGAGGGGAAAACCCTCACACACACACACACAAAGTCATACATAACTTAACAGACCAGCGACTGAACTGAACTGTCTTCAGAGTGGAGGGATGGGATCACTACCGGATACGAGACTCCTTGATCCGGACTGTGGATTATGTATTACGCTGGCGCCAATTGGCCGACGGCTCCTCGAGCAACGACGCCGTTTGCTGGCAGTAATCCACAAAAGTTTGCAGGCCATATCTGGTAACCGCCTTTGTCACGTTGTGGTTAAGCTGAATGGGATCCTGGACCACCATCGGCTTTCGCAGTTGCAGCGAGCAGTCGGGATTGGAAGCTACATATGCAGAATACCTAAAATTAATACAATAAAGATTTAATCAAGAAATATAGACCCAATACAATTAGTTGTTCCTTACCGACTCGGCAGAGACTTTTCGAAATTCTGTATTTCGGTGTCAGCACGTCCAAGGTACGGGCAGACCAAAAAGTGTTCGTAGTCAAAGGTGGCAAAGTATGAAAAGAATGCCTTCAGGAAGCCTTTGACAATGGGCACAGTCACTTCGATTTGCTGTATTCCCAGTTCACTCGGCGATTTCTGCGTAAAGTTGACGATCCAAGCTTTAAAAATAAATAAAACTGTGTGAATCCCCCGAAATTAACCGAAAATAACATACTAACGCCCCACAAGCTGAGAGATCGACTGCTCCGTCTGCAGACCCGATATGGGCGGGAGCAGGTGCTGGAGTTGCAAAAAGAAAATGACCATCAAAGTAATGCTATACGTTGATATCTGCTCCGTCAGCTTGCAACGCTCTAGCCAGTTCTTCACATAGATGCACATGTATTGAGCTGTCTCGAAAGAACAAAGAAGATTATGACGTGGAATTTGCTCCAGTGCTGCACTGCTTACCTAGTGGCTGTGACTCGAACACATATTTCAGCAGATTCGTGTTGCAAAAACCAAGACTATTTAGGCAAATGTCGCACTCGATACCCGTTGGCAAGTGGCAGGTCTTTATGATGGGAACACGAGCCTGCTCAATGACCTGAACGACAAAACAAAGATTACAAACCATGTCCCATTTTCTGGACGTATTCCTCTCACATTAATGATGCGCCAGTCATCACTGCCGCAGAAGAACTTTCGCATCGCCCGGAGCTTGCTAATTGTCGCATTTGATGCTCGGTGCTCAAAGGTGTGAAAGGTGTTGCCTGTCGATACAAAGCACACGTCAGCTGGGTACTATACAAACGTAGAATGCGCCTTAACTCACCAATGTCTACGAATACGTCCAAGTCAGAAGATCGCGTGCCTATGCCAGTTATTCGGGATCCAAATTTGTAGACTCGCAACTGCTGATTGGGAAACGCCGGCGATAGAAGCTTGCTCAGGTCCTGCTCGATTATATCGTATTCGGGTATCACTTTCAGCTTGTCCGCCACGGGATATTTGTCCTTAAACACATTTGTGATTTCGCCCACAATCATGGCCTTGGCCTCTGAAATATAAATGATATTTAAAACAGGTGCTAAGAGGTTTAAGCCTGGAAAAGGAAGGGACCTTACTTTTTGGCAGCTGCACCACCATCTCCTGACGCGCCTTCACCTGAGCGCGCTTCTTTTCCTGCCTGGATTGCTGCTGCTGCTGTTGCTGTTGGTGCACCGGCTGTCCGTTAGGATTTGGATTGGGGTGATTCTCCGACAAATGCGCCACCGCCTTGGCAATGGTGGTGCCAACAATGCGATTAGTGCAGGCACTGCAGCTAAATGTGCGCTTGATCGTATGCAGTTCCTTGGGCTGCACAAAGGCCACACCCTCGCCGACGGTGGCTCCTGACGTATCGAGAGGCAACACATAGGTGGGATTCCGGTCCAAGTACTTCTCAATACCCACGACAATCCGTTCAAGGAGCTTGGTAAGATGCGGATCCAACTGCGGGTGCGTAGTTTTCTGGTTAACAGCGGTCAGCGTTTCCAGGAAAAAGTTCGCTTCCATGGTGAGCGGGTTCATCTGAAAATATCGCCTCGTTTAATGCCAATTTGGGCGAGCACAGGTCCAAGCCACACTCACGTAAAGTTGTTTATTTGGTGGTTCCTTCTCGGCCATCGCCTTGTTTTTCTGCTTTTTTGATTTCTTTGGGGGAACGGTTGGAAGTGTAGGACCCGGAGCTGGACCGGGAACGGGGACGGGGCCAGCAAGCTGTGCGGGCGAAAGCAAGAATTTGAATTGAATACGGCTGAGCTCGGCCTTTGTTTGGTTTGGTGGCTAAATGTTTGAATTAATGTGGCGACGCATAGCGAGCAGAGCTTTCAGCTGATTTTTGTAGGGTAGCCACCTCCGTCAGAGCTAGCCGGCTGCCTTCAACGCTTGGGGGTGGGGGTGTGTGTATGTAGTGTGTGGGATTGGGTGAGCAACACATGCACATCACACTGTTTGTAGATATGTAGCGACGACGATCCCGGATTTAACATAAATATAAATAAAGTGCAGGCTTGGCTAATGCCGGGAATGTGGCGCCATTTTAACGGTTCTGGTGAAATTCAGTTTCCTTTAACGGCCGCTCTACGTACACTAACTTTTCGCCTATTGCGTTCCTCATAAAACTGCCTTTCAGCGTTGCTGCAAGCCGCCTTGTCCAGCCAAAAGGAGTCCTCCGCTTCGATTCGCATTGTCGCTTAAAATGCGCTTATCCTTGAACGATATTAACGAGTTGAAATTAGCAGCTTAAAATTCGCGTGTAATTTTGGTTGCTTTGTTGTTTTCACTGAAACGTTTAAGCTGGCAACACTGGAAAATGATTGCCGGCGCGTGCTGGCCACACTTGGATAAACTGCGCCACTTTTAAATGGGAAAACAAATCCACTATTGTATTGGCACATTTTCATTGGGATCAAGAATCAATTTTTAGATTTTGAATTAAAAACTGAAATCGTAACATAACATTTTATTCGCTGTATATTTTACATAGCAGTACATAAGGAATACACTCTGTTGCTCTCTCTTCAAAAGACAATGTTATCCTTACGCTCTTCTCTCTCAACTTTCCTAAAATTTAACATTCTACATGATAATTCGACCCCAAACCGAGAATTCGACACCAAGATTACATTCCCATACAAATTTGACACTGTTGTTCTGTGTACAATTTGCTCGTACTCTTGCTGAATATTAATTATATATGTACAAATTATAAATAGAAACTAAAAAATTTAACAGAATTCAAGAAATTAAAGAAAATTAATTGTGATTTTTAAAAATTAAATTAAATTAAAAATATTATAAAATTATTTACTTTGAGATCTGCTTTTTCTTGGCTTTCTAGCTATAGCTTTTTAGCTAGAATGGACGTCATACATGGACTTAGACCATATATTTAGATCAGAGTGTGACCAAATGGAAGGTGGTTGAGATATCGGTCATACTGCGCCGAAAACTAATACAGATACAGATAGCAGTACATAAGGAATACACTCTGTTGCTCTCTCTTCAAGAGACAATGTTATCCTTACGCTCTTCTCTCTCAACTTACCAAAAATTTTACATTCTACATGAGAATTCGACCCCAAAACGAGAATTCGACCCCAAAACGAAAATTCGACACCAAGATTACATTCCCATACAAATTTGACACTGTTGTTCTGTGTACAATTTGCTCGTACTCTTGCTGAATATTAATTATATAAATACAAATTATAAATTGAAACAAAAAATTTAACAAAATTCAAGAAATTAAAGAAAATTAAAGTTGATTTCTTTAAATTAAATTAAATTAAAAATATAACAAAATTATTTGCTTTTAAATCTGCTTTTTTCGTGGCTTTCTAGCTATAGCTTTTTAGCCGTTTATTTTGGGTTAGCTTTTTTGCTCAGAAATAAATGACGTCATACATGTCAGTGTGACCAAATGCCCGGTAGGTTGAGGTTTTGGTCACTCTGCGCAAAACCGGATATACATAGCAGGCGGTACATAAGACTATATACCCGATCTGAGGCTATATAAGCAGGCCGCGGCCCAACTTTCCACATTACGTTTGTCAAGCCTCATAGCCGGCAATTCGAACGTATACGCTCTCCGAGTCGGACCTAATCGTAGCTCCACACATTTGTGAATTTTCCTTGTCGCGTGTGAACAAAAACTAAAAACTCAATATGGTGAGTAACAAAAATACAACTTGAATTATTCGGCCGAAAAGTACGCGAGGCTAAATTTGTACAATGAACAACGCGGCCTTTGGGCAACATGGCGGCCGGCCTGCAAAATTTTCTTTGAACTTGGTGACGTCACCTTTTCGGCAAGAGAAAACGCCGGGGAATATTTGTGAAATTCAGAAGCTAGGGCTGTAAATCGCTATGCAAATCTAGTCGAACGGTTTTTGTGCATTTTGTGGGGTAATTTAAAGAGTCGAAGTTTGCTGCATATCACGGCATTTATCATACTTTTCGGTTAATCGGTTTCTGCCTGTTCCATTTCTTTGAACGGCAGAAAAAATGGCGATACAGCATAAAAATTCTAGTATACCATGTTGCCATCTCGCTCGCGCGCACACAGTCCCGCTTGAAGTTGGGCGCGGCTCTGCGGCTATTGATTTTCTTTCGGGCGTGGAATTAATCATCTCTTCCCTTTCTCCTCTTTCGCCAACAGCGTGAATGTATCTCTATCCACGTTGGCCAGGCTGGTGTCCAGATCGGTAACGCCTGCTGGGAGTTGTACTGCCTGGAGCACGGCATCCAGCCCGATGGCCAGATGCCCTCCGACAAGACTGTTGGTGGTGGCGATGACTCGTTCAACACCTTCTTCAGTGAGACCGGAGCCGGCAAGCACGTGCCCCGTGCCGTGTTCGTTGATCTGGAGCCCACTGTGGTGGATGAGGTCCGCACTGGTACCTACCGCCAGCTGTTCCACCCCGAGCAACTGATCACCGGCAAGGAGGATGCCGCCAACAACTACGCCCGTGGCCACTACACCATTGGCAAGGAGATCGTCGACCTGGTGCTGGACAGGATCCGCAAGCTGGCTGATCAGTGCACCGGTCTGCAGGGCTTCCTGATCTTCCACTCTTTCGGTGGAGGCACCGGCTCCGGATTCACCTCCCTGCTGATGGAGCGTCTCTCCGTGGACTACGGCAAGAAGTCCAAGCTGGAGTTCGCCATCTACCCAGCACCCCAGGTCTCCACTGCCGTGGTTGAGCCCTACAACTCGATCCTGACCACGCACACCACCCTGGAGCACTCTGACTGCGCTTTCATGGTCGACAACGAGGCTATCTATGACATTTGCCGCCGCAATCTGGACATTGAGCGCCCCACATACACCAACCTGAACCGTCTGATCGGCCAGATCGTGTCCTCGATCACCGCCTCTCTGCGTTTCGATGGTGCCCTGAACGTTGATCTGACTGAATTCCAGACCAACTTGGTGCCCTATCCCCGTATCCACTTCCCTCTGGTGACCTACGCCCCGGTCATCTCCGCCGAGAAGGCCTACCACGAGCAGCTGTCGGTGGCTGAGATCACCAACGCCTGCTTCGAGCCAGCCAACCAGATGGTCAAGTGCGACCCCCGTCACGGCAAGTACATGGCCTGCTGCATGCTGTACCGCGGTGATGTGGTGCCCAAGGACGTGAACGCCGCCATTGCCACCATCAAGACCAAGCGCACCATCCAGTTTGTGGACTGGTGCCCCACTGGCTTCAAGGTCGGCATCAACTACCAGCCACCCACCGTGGTGCCTGGTGGCGATCTGGCCAAGGTGCAGCGCGCCGTGTGCATGTTGTCCAACACCACGGCCATCGCCGAGGCCTGGGCCCGTCTGGATCACAAGTTCGATCTGATGTACGCCAAGCGTGCCTTCGTCCACTGGTACGTCGGTGAGGGTATGGAGGAGGGAGAGTTCTCCGAGGCCCGTGAGGATTTGGCTGCCCTGGAGAAGGACTACGAGGAGGTCGGCATGGACTCTGGCGACGGTGAGGGCGAGGGTGCCGAGGAGTACTAAACGTAGTGCCTCTGGAAGCCGCAGGAGCGTCATTGGTGGGCGGGCAACCGTCGAAATCAATGCCCACGCTTCTGAACGCGACAACGTTACTGCAACACTGTGAAGCGAACCATAAAAACAACAATGAAAAGGAGAAAGATTCGAGAAGAAAACCAGAAAGTATTTTATCCACAAAGACACGCTAGCAGAAAAGCCAAGCTAAACGCGATATGTTGTGTACAAGAATAAAATCAGCGAGAAAAGCAGTTGTTGACAGCAAAACTTCCAGTTTGTTTTTCTTTCTCTACTTTTTTCAGCGATCTGTCTATTCCAGCGTTGAGTTCATTAACCGCTTTATTCGCTGCGGGAAAGCGGAGCAGTCTCTTTTGGTTGTTTCGTCTATAATTAGCGCTTTCTATTTTCCGCCGATTCGTGCCACTGCTGCCAGCGGCTTTGCTTGCATGTGGCAAGTACAGACTGTACCCGTCAGTGCACTTGGATTTTCAGTTTCCAGCCCCCTCCCACGGGGCTTTGCTCTGGAAAAGCGCAGTGCTTTTATTGATTCTTTACAGCTATGAGTCATCATCATCAGCTTTGAGGTCGCAGCATAAAACGTTGCTATAACAATGCCTTCACAGCAAAAACGATGACTTCATTTCTTAACTGGTGACACTCACGCCACATTTGAATGTGTGTGGCAAAATACATCATACATATATGTACATATGTATGTATGTAGATGTACAAACTATAATGGAGGTCATCAAAATAGTAGCTTATATTTAAATGTCACGCAGTTATATTTTATTTGCTAGTCTGTCAAAATAACTTTATTTATATAAAGTAAAATGAATGATAGATAAGAAAAATACTGTTCCTAATACATTCTTAAAACGTTGGGTGTGGTCGGGAACGACCCTTTTAGAGAAGAGAGTTTTGAGTGCTATTGCACTGACCGGATTTGTATGTTTGTACTTTGTTCCGACCTTATACAGGGGTTGTTTTGCCCAAACACGAATTGAAGCCTAGGTAAGCCGGTCTGTTGTATAAGCCGCCTCCTTCTCAGGTTTTTCATGCCAATGCGGTATTTTCGAGAAACAGACCGAGGAGAGGCAGCTGCTATTGAATTTCCAGAAATACCCGACCGAAGCAGGCAGGAAATGCATCAAGGGAGGGCGAGGGCCATGTGGCCTAAAAATATGTACATGTGCACACAAAAGTACATGCACTATATACATTTGTACATACATACATATGTTTCTAAGTATGTACATCCGTATGTACAATGCCTCGCAATGCATTTACCGGCCGAGACCGGCGCCCTTAATTGAGGTTATGTCTGATTTCATTCACTGTTCATGAAAGAAAAAACAACTATTCTTGTCCAAGAAACTAAAGGAATGATAAATTTGTACAAAAACACATTTGGCAGAACAATTATACATAATTTGCGACACAATTTAGATAGTTATCCCAAATTAAAGAAAACAGTTGGTGCCATGAAATCAGAGCTCAGCTGCAAACAGATTTCGATGCCGAGACATGGCTATATTTGTACATGGCGGTGTGAGCCAACGCATTTTTTTAATGACGATAGCGTCAGCTCGGAACCGGCTTATGGTGTCTAAAGTTAATGCCTATGGAGGCGGCTTGTGTGGGTGGGCTTTTGCCCCAATCCCACGTTTAAGACCTGATTCATAAGCATTTGAGTTTGTATGATTTTGTTTGATCAATAAATGAAATATGTACATATGTATGTATGTATGTATGTACATAAATGTACATACAACGTAGATATGTACATAATGATTGTTATTTGGTAACCTTATTTTCTTGCAAAAATAAACAAACTCTTGGGGCTATATACCTACATATATACTAGTATATACATACATATGTACATATTGCATACTTATGGATTTTGACCATATTAGAACAGTAATTTAAAATTAAAAAACAAGGAGTCTTATACAAATGTACATCTCTTATACGAAATGCATTACTGAAAAAGATGTGTATGTACATATGTATGCATGTACATAACCTTCAACCTTTACATGCTACTTTACTTAATATTAAGAAATATGTTATCCCAAGGTCAGGCTCAAGAAACCTATTCGCCTGAAGGACAAATAATGTCAATAAAAGAGAATCATAAGTAAGATTTGGCTGATTTAAGAAAATTAAGGTCAAACATACATAAAAGCAAACATTTTGGAGCTGCCAACCTGATTTTAGTCTACCAGTGATGAGTCTATTGGTTCCACAATAAAGATGCTCGATTAGAGATTTTCTAGCTAGTTATTTCAAAAATAAAAAAAAAAATCAAAAGAAGCCTGAAGTTTTATAACTGTAACTATTTAACAAAAAACAATTTTGAAGAACTATTAAGTTTTTGGCTGCGGTGGACACTTCTGTGGAATAGCCCATATATACAATATTTAAAAGATATTTTAAAGTTTCACAAATTTGTTTGAATTTTGTGTGTGTTATTATACCTTTGCAGGGTATTATAATTTCAGTCAGAAGTTTGCAACGCAGTGAAGGAGACGTTTCCGACCCTATAAAGTATATATATTCTTGATCAGCATCAACAGGGGAATCTTTCTAGATATGTCAGGAAGAAATAGATTTTTTGGCCATTTTTGCAAAATTTGATAAGGGGTTACATCATTAAAATTTTTGATTTTGATAAAAAATTTAATTTTCAAAATTTTTAAATGAAGTATGCAGATTTATTAACTGTAGAAAATCTTGCACAGAACAGTTTTCCGATTTAAAATTAATGCTGTTTTGGCCGAGTTATGATATTTTTAATTTAAAAAAAAAAAACAAAGAAGTTTTTTTATATAAAAAATCAGATTTTATAACACAAAATAATATTTTTTAAGTCAAGGAATCATTTCCGACCCCATAAACCATATATATTCTTGATCAGCATTAACATGCGAATCTTTCTAGACATGTCCGGAAGAAATCGATTTTTTGGCCATTTTTGCGAAATTTGATAAGGGGTTACATCATAAAAATTAGCAAAAATGGCCCAAAATTTTGATTTCTTAAAATTTTAAATTTGGTATGCAGTTTTTTTAAATAAATAAAAACTAACACAAAACTGCTTTCCGAATCGAAATTAATGCATTTTTTGTTTAGTTATGATATATTTTAATTGTTACCTGCAAGGGTATACAAACTTTGGCTGGCCAAAGTTAGCTTTCTTTCTTGTATTTTTTTTTTAATTTTCCTATAGCTTAAAAATTATCCGTTATATATTTTTTAAATATAGAAAAACATCGAGTTCGTCACATTTCTACATTTCTACGCTCTACACAGTTGTGACATGAACCTAGTTAACGTGTAATTTCAGTTCATCGACATAATTCCGCCTTTTGGGGTTGCCAAGTTACTTCCAACGTCTCCCGCTTAAAATTTTGTATAGAATAAAATATTGAACAATTCAGGAAATTCATCAAGCAAAAGAACTCAAATCATGCCAATCACCAAGGAGATGGGAACGGATGCCGATCTCGTAGAGAACACCCCAAGGTTAAACAGCCGCGATAGCGCCGCGTAAGTGATGGGTCTGTGGTTCAAAATTTTGTTTTAATAAAACCCGGTTGCTGGATCCCGGAAACAGCCTAAAGGACATTATGAAGAAACGCCTCACGGAATGCGGATGGCGCAAGGATATTGAGCAAATGATCCGTCAGACCATTCAGGAACACGGTGTGGGCACTTTAACATCCGATCAACTCGCTGAAAAGATTGTTCCCCATGTAGGTAAGCCCACTACCTTGTTGCTCCGCTTACCCTTACATCATTATGATAGGCACGAGCCTTGGTACCCGACGTAATCTGCAAGGAGATGATGATACGGGTGCATAACGCCTTGGGATCGTCGCAGCCAGCGGAGAAGAAATAAATCCATCCGGCCGGCAATCAAGACTATCGAGATTAAATTCTAGCACTCATGTGTCTGTGGATTTATTTATCTCATCGTTAATTAAGTAGATATTTACAGTCTTATGCTAGTTACGAATTACGCCATACTGGCAGTACAAAATATGCATGTAATAATAAATAAACAACCTATGTTGCTATGTTCATGTTTGGCTAAACAAAATTTGTGGGAAAAACTAGGAACGCGGATTGGGCTCTGGGGCTCTCTGGTTACTATTTGTTTATGTTTAATTATGCTACAAATAATAATAAGGCTAACTGTTAAGTATTAATTCGTTAATCTTGCTTTACGTTTACTTATTCAAAAGCGAATCGATTGAAAAGTCTTTGAATTTGGCATTGGAATCATCGTTGAGCAGCTGCAGTTGCTGCGGCTGCTCCAGTTCCTGCTGTGATGTTGTCGTCGTTGCTGTTGGCAGCATTTTCATTAGCTTGTTGCGTGGTTTGCGCAGAAACTTTGTGTTTATTTGAAACTTGGTGGTGGGCGGCTTGTGCCCTGAACTTGACTGGGACTGGGCCTGAAACAAGGCTGTGGTATTGATGGCTGTGGCTGTAGCTCCCGTAATGTCTACTATTGGCGTCTGTGATGTCTGGACCGTTGGGTTATCTGCTACTGCAGTTGCTGTTGCTGGTACCGAATTGATTGTGTTGCGATAATTCTGGCGCCATGCACGCAACTCTCCTTTTCCCAAGGCTTTCGTGGCAGCTGCTGGAACGTTGGTCTTTGCATAGGCATTGGGCCCAAAGCACTTGAGAAAGTTCTGCACATGCAACAAGCTTTCGTTCTCGTTCGAGTGCTTGGGCCTTCGTTGCTGCCTGTCCTCGTTTTCATCCTCCGCCTCGTAATCCACCGACGACTGCTGCTGCTGTGAGGAGGATGAGACGGTGGAGGATGAGCTACTGCTATTACTGCTGTGCTGTAAACGAAGTAGATTTCATTGGACTAAATTCTTGGAATATTAAGAAATAGATGTTTAAACTTACATCGTCGTCATTTTTGTCGATCAGTTGCTGTTGAAGGCCCATTTCTGCTGCCTTCTTCAGCTCACCTTGGGTGCGTTTACTATTGTTGTTGGTGTGGTTAGAGCCTCCCCTCTTGGCCCGGGATTGTTGCTTCATTCTCGGCTGTTGCTGCGGCTGCTGATTCACGTGCTTACGGTACGACTTTCAGCTGGTTTTGGCTTGGAGGTTATCGTCGCGCCTTAGTTGGGACTGCAATAGACACAAATTTGAATGAATGAGTGGAGTCTTCGCTTTAAGGACAAGAACAGGGATCAGGTTTTGAGCCAACATGGCTTATGGGATAACATAACATAGCTTCCGGATCTTTTCTCTTTCTCACAAACAAAGAAACAAACAATTTCCACCAGGAATAGGATATTTACAATGAAACAAGATGGGCGCAAAGCGTATGACTTTGAATTCTTTGTGTTTTGCGTGTGTTTTCATTTCGAATTATTTCTACGGGCACTGGATTGTCTGATTGAACGGTTGATTGATTGAATGAGTAAGTAGTGAGTGCATAGATGATGAGACATGAGGCATGGCGCAAATCAAAAGGTGAATAAATGCACAAAGAACAGGCATTATGGCGATTATTATGGATTCTCAATCGGCCGTGTCTTGGGACAGGGACATGCTCCCAACAATCACAATCCCAATACACACACACACACACACACACACACACACACAAACTGAGGAACACGCTCTCGCACACGCACTCACAACTACCTGGTGATGCGTGCTGTAGAGCGCCGCGTGGTGCGCCGCATAGGAGGAAGAAGAGGTGCTACTTAAATCGTCAATGCCAACGCCAACGCCAACGCCGCCGCCACCCACTTGAATCTGAATGCTAGGATGTTGGTGTGGTGGGTGGTGTGGGTGTGGGTGGTGGTGCGTGACCGTGCCCGTGCCCGATCCCGTGCCCGATCCCGCTGTTGTCGAAAAAGTAGTTGTGGTTGTCGCTGCAGCCACGGCAGTCCCTGCTGCTGACCCACCTCGTCCAATGCCAGCAACGGCAGCACCGCCTCCAGCGCCAGCCCCAAGGCTCATTCCCACACCCAGCAAATGGGCGGCCGCCACAGCGGCGCTGGTGGCGTGATGCGATTGATGCAGGTGCTGCTGCTGTTGGACCTGCTGTGCGTGCTGCTGATGCTGCTGCTGCTGCTGGGAAGGATGAGACGACGGATGAGACGACGAATGCGACGAATGCTGCGAATGATGCTGATGATGCAGGGTGTTGCTGTTGGCGTTGATGCTGCTGCTGCCACCGCTATTGCTGTTACCAGAATTGTTGTACGCAGAAACGTGTCTATAAAGTAAAGGTGTGCTAATTAGATAAGTACTTCTAACTCAAGTATTCTTCATTATTGTATATAAGATAGTTGTTTACACAAGCTCAACTCTAGTGGATAAATGCTAACACAAAGATTGTTGGCACTTGGAAATTCACATGTGTGCGCGTTACGCATCTTATTCATTTTATTTTCGAACTGATTTAATGATGACCTTGTTTCTACAAACACTATAAAAAGAATCCTCCTTGAGGTGGAAACACTCACCTTAGCCCCAAGCTGGCTGCATTGGTCATTGTCATGCCGGCAATAGACATTGGTGTAGTTGAGGTGGTTCCGCTGCTGGCATTTGAGGATGTGGCTGGATTGCTGGATTCCAGCACACCGCTGGAGCTAGCCGGCGCCACTGTGGGTCGACTGCTGACCATGGTGGGAATGGTGGTGTTGATGGCAGTGGTGGCCAGCGAAACTGCCGCTGCGATCGTTGTGGCCGCGTTGAGAGCGGTAATGTTGCTGCCCAGTCCGATGCTGCTGTTGTTGGAGTTGCTGCTGCTGCTGGTGTTGGAGGCTAGTGTGGAAATGACAAGAGTTGTACAAGTTGTGGATGTGGCTGTTGTTGTTGAATTCGTTCTGGACATGGCGACTGGTAAGCATATTTTTTGGTTAGATTGTGAGTACGCCCGTGGGTTGTTGTAGGTTGTTCCATCGCCAGCAGAGGTGTGTGCGTGTGTGTTGTTAGTGGTTATAAGGTGCGAGTGTGTGGCGTGAGTGTGGGTGCGAGTGTTGTGGTGTGCTTTTCTCTCCACGGCATGCAACAGACAGCAACACAACGCAATAAACTTAAGAAACCTTAGGATAACCTTCGAACCCAAGTGAGAAATAATCGAAACTTAGGAAAAGAAATTTAGAATTTTCGTTTGTTTTATAATTAAACCTTTTATTCATTTCTCAAATAAATAAAATCGGAAAAAGCCTTAACCTTAGCATATTGCGAAAAATAACTTAACTAAATATAAACTTGGCCAAGAAAATCATTATCGGTTGTTACATAATATAAGTAAGTGTAATTAAGCTGTAAGTGTATAACTAACTTAAAAGTGTGGGTGGGGAATCGTCGATAATGACAAAGAAGAAAGCATGCCGTAGCCGTAGTGTGAAAAAGGTTTGCCGATAAATGCAATATTTGTATCGCCCATCAGACAGTCGTTTCTTTGCATATATAATGTACAAGTTTGCCTATATACAAGGACCGTATTTTAACCCATTTTGGGGAAAACTTAACCTATGTGGCTTAGGCCTAAGACTGAACAGCATTGCGGATCGAGGCAACAATTCCAATCGTATATAATATGTACACGGAATACCAAACATTAAAGAAAAAAAAACGGAAATTATAACGAATCAAATGCAAATTTTGGTCTGTGATCAAGTGGCAGTGTGTGAGAGTGGCATGTGTGGTGAGTCCTCTTCTCTCCGGTTGCCAAAAAGAGCTGGCCGACACCAAGAACAATAGAGAATTCCGCCTCTTCTCTACTTACCGTGCGCCTCGGTCTTGGCATTGCTGCTGCCGCCGATCGTACTCAATGGGATCTGCAGGCGGGCATTCACGGCCAGGAGGTGATCGCGGCGAGCTATTAGGCTGGTCACATGCTCCTCCAGCCGCAGGTTCTCGCTCTGCAGCTGGTGCAGGCAATTCAGCAGAGAAGCAACTGTTGATTCAAAATTTCAGAGTTAATTTCTGGACACACACATCTGCTCCCGAAATACGACTCATACTCACTGTCAAAATGCTGCGCCTGCTCCATGAGAAACTGCGAGCCCTGCTCCCACTGGCGCTCCAGCAATTGCTCCAGACTCTGCGGTATGGGCATATTGCCATTGATACCGCCACCGCTGAACATTGACTGAAGCGGATTCGGTGCTGGCGTTGTCGCGGCATTATTGGAGGCGGAATTGCGCTGTAGGAGAATATGTTAAATTATTTTTAAAACTTATTAGGTGCAATCTTTCGATTCCTCTTACCTGCTTGCCAGGAAATGGCACTCCGGCGTACTGCGAGTTCATGGAGTCGGGCGTGTAGATCGAGTGATCCTGCACTTCCATGTGCAGCTGCTCGGACAGCTTCTGAGCCACACTGCTGTTGGGATTGAGCTGGTTACCCAGCATATGGGCGGCCGTGTGCGTGATGATAGAAGAATTGCTTGTCGCACTACCGGCAGCCGCTGACGTAGCTATGGGCGTGGCTGGCGGTGTGGGTGTGCTGCTGCTGGTTGGATTGCTTGAGCCACTGGCCGCCGCACCATTCTGTAGTATGCGCACATCCTTGAGATCCTGTTGAACACTGCTGGTGGCAGCATTAGCTGCTGCTGCCGCCGCTGCCGCTGCAGCTATCGTAGAGTCCTTTGCCTTGCGTCCACGTTTTCGCACATTTCCTGGCTGGGTGGCTGCTGCTGCCGTCAAAGCCGAGGTGGGAGCCGCCGCAGTCAGGGAACTGACCGCTGCCGTTGCCGTGTGCATAACGGACCCAGTCTCCGAGCCGGGCGAGCTGGGCGGTGAGTCCTTAATGGCGCTCACCGGCAACATGGGCACATCCAGGTGGACTTGACTTTCGTAAGTGAATTTCAAACCGCCACCGCCGCCGGCCATAGAATTGAGGGACAGCTGGCTGTTGCTCAGCGAAACCAAGGCAGCTGTTGTTGCTGGCACTGCTGATGACGAGGAGCTGGTCTGGCTGAGATCGGGCGTTCTATTGGTTGGTTTCGTCGAGGAAGGAATAGGAGTGGTATTCGAATTAGTGAACTGCAAAATCTCTAGATCTTCGTGCTGTTGACTCTGTGCTGTAGACGCTGTCTGCTGCTGCACTTGCTGTTGCGAGGGCTTAAAGCTACTTGTAGAGTTGGAAGGGACTGTGGGGGCGTGGCTGAGACTAGGGGGTGGAGAGTTGGCTCTAGCAGGGTTTGTATACTGCTGTTGCTGTTGCTGCTGCTGCTGATACAGCTGCGTCTGCTGGGCACGCAACATTTTCTTGTTTAAGGGCTTGTTGGCCGGGCTGCCATTGGCAGTGCTGCTGCCCCGATAGTTGCCCGAAGCCGACATGTTTACCGGCGAGTCTGCCAAATTCACCACATTGGCCACTGCATTGGAGCCGCCACCGCTCGAAGAAGAGGTGGAAGACGTGGACGAGCAGGAAGTGGAGGTCTGTTCGCCGTTATGATTCGTATTGTTGCTGCCGTTATTGTTTCGAGTACTGCGACTTGTCGCCGTTGCTGGCGGGGAATCAATTGACGACGAGGACAGAGATTGCAGCATCACCACTGGCGAGGAAACCACTGGAGGTGCCACAGTCACAGTCGCTGGTGGTGGCGGTGTAGGCACCGTGGTCGCATTGTAGTGCGGTGAGCTGTGCCGGCTATGCTTCTCGGCAGTGGTTGGAGCGGCCACTGCTGATGGTGATGCAGTTGCAGATGCATCGCTCTTACTAACCGCAGCACCACGCTTCTTGCCTGATCGCGAGGTGGCTTTGGGATTGACGGACGTGGTTGAGGCACTGGCACTCGAGAGTGAGGACGAGGAAGTGGAAGTGGAGGACGAGGGTGAGGCGGCAGTGGAGGAGGAATGCAGCGCCTGTTGCTGCTGTTGGTGCGACTGTTGTTGCTGCTGTGACGTTTGCTGGTGATGATGGCTAGTGTGGCTATTGTGGTGGGTGGCGTGGTGGTGTTGATGGTGGTGGGCATGGTGGTGACTACCGCCACTCTCGCCGGAGCGCGATCTAAGTAAGTGTGGTGAATGGGCGTGTGAGTGTGGGAGGTGAGCATAAATAGTGTGGTGTGGTGGGAAGACATTAAGCAAACGGGAGAGAGAGAGACAAAGAGAAGAGTGTTTTTTTTTTTTAATGATAGCTCAATTTGATTTGTTTATGATTCTCAACTGGGCTTGGTAATAACTAAAGGATAAAAGGTAATGAAATTAACTAGGGAAATAAGGTGGAGAATCTGGCGACCGTGAAGAGTCAATAAACATAAATCGAGGTGTGGCAATGCTATCAACTGTTTAACTCTTTCAAGTCAAAAAGAATTCATGTTAAGCTTTAATACAAAATTAATTTGAGTTAAAGTATAGTTTTCTGTAAGACCTCAGAGAAATTTGACAAAAATAATCAAAGAAAGATTAAATATAAGCCCCAATTCCGTGATATTACCCCAATATCTTCGTAGAACAATTAAATATATCTGAATTCTGGAATAACAAAGGGTACAAATAAGGCCAACCTTTTCATGTAAAAAAAGGGTTTCTAAATAACAAAACTACTAAACACGCACAGCAACAGAACAGCAACACACATTAAACAAAGGGAGTAAAAATATATATATGTTTAAAAAATCAAAGCAGGAGCAAAGCACAGGCGTCGAACTGGAAGATATCATCTTATTGCCAAACATACCTGCTGCGACGTGCTGGTGGCGCCTCCTGTTCCTGTAGCTGCTGCACCCGCGTCGTCTGCTTCTCGTAGCTGATCTTCAGATTACCGGTCTCTGTGGTGGTGGCGGTAAGGTTACCACCGGTTGGAGTACCACTGGCAGAGATGATGCTGCCGCCGCTATTGCCACTGACTAGATTTCCGACCAACGCCGGCGAAGACTTGCCACTTTGGTGCTGGATGACCGACGAAGAGCCACTGTTCGGACCACCGCTTGTGGCGCCGGCATGAAACGCTCCGGTTCCAGCTCCAGAAGCACCCATTGATGTGTGGGTGCCCTGCTGCTGCTGCGATGGTGTCCCGCTCCCCCGCGATCCAGAATGGGATTCTGAAAAAGAGAAACGTTTAAAATTATAAAGAGATTTCTCTGAAACTTCCCTAAGAACTTACCGCTGCTGGGATTACTGCTACTGCTGCTGCTATTGGTGGGCAGATTGATTCCAGGTACATTGGCCGTGGACAGTGGCACTGAGACGTACAGACTGGGTGCGTTGCCACTGCTCCCGCTCGATGGCTGCTGGCTGCTTGCGCTCTCCTTGGTGTTGCTGCTGTTGTGCTTGTTGTTGCCACCGCCAACTCCTCCGCTTGAGGCGCCACTCGACTTGCTCGTCTCTGTCTTTGAATAGCTGCCGGTTCCGACAGCGGGGGCTGCTCCACCACCCGCTGCCATTCCGCCGGAGCTACTTCCGCTGCCCGCGGGAGCTGCAGCATTACTACTGCCGCCTGAGGTAGTGCTGGCCGACACTGGGGAGGCTGTGGCTGCGGTCGCCGCTGTTGCACTCGCCGTTACCGCAATGGACGCACTTGTTGAGCTGGCCAGCGGTGCATTTACCTCTGCAGTGGCGGATGTTTGGTGGGTCGGCGGGCTGAGCTCGGTGCGTTGCTGCGGGCGAAAGGAACAGAGGAGGAAGTGGTAAATTAGTATGAGGGTACACGGATGTGATTCACCCAAGTTACTATACTAGCCCAGCTGATAAAACCCCAAATACTCCACGCTGATAAGCACTGTAAAGCCCACAATTATCAAGTGGCTAGCTCAAGTTTATATTACGAATGATGCAATCAAAGGGGATACGACTTTATAAAGTAGTTAGAAGGCTTATATGTAAGTACCACTACTGTCAACGTTTTTGGAATGGAATTAAAATGAATATTAATATAAATAAGGGTCAGATTTTAAAATAACTATTTTGAAATAATATTGAATTATATCTTTATGGTCTTTGGTAACCTTGAGATTCAGATTCAATTTTGTGACAAGAATTAATTGTGGTTTGAGGAATTTCTATCTCTCATTATCAGTAATAGATTAAAATGTTTATAGATTAATTTTATATAAAAACTAAAAAGATAGAATAGTACAAGGATTTATTTCAAGATGCCCAGTTCCTGGGCAAACTATTGCTTTTATAGGAAATATCATTGAAAATTACCATAACAGTTTTGATACTTATGACAACTGTTAATCAATCAAAATAGTACATTTGAATCTGAACAATATCGCATAACAAGTGATCAGATGTTCCTGAATATAAAGGTTAAGATCGATTAGAAAACGAGTGCTGATGACAGACTTGAGTTGTCTAGAAACAGCTGAGCATTTATGTATTTGAAATGCTTATAACTGGAGAAGATACTCCTCTTGGGTCTAAAATGAATCGCATAGTGTTGTGTTTGCTTCTCTTCTGATTTGCTTTTTAGCTTTGCGGTCATTAGCAACATCCGGTTGGATGGTGAGACATGTAAACACATGTTTACAACACCATCAAAAGGCAAAAGAATAATAAACACAAAAAAAAAAAAAAAAGGAAATACACAAACCAATAACAGAGAGCAGCGCTCGGTTAACCATTTTTCGCTGTGTTGTTGGTGGTTGGAAAAAACCATGAGAGAGAGAGTGCAAGGGAGGAGGGATTTTCGATGCATGTGTTCCATTTAGATAAAAAAAAAAAGGCTGCACATTAATGCAACTCAAAAAGCTCTTATCGCCGATGTTGCTGCACATCAACACAGGAAAAAAATAAAAGCGAACGGAAAACGCACATGAGTCAGAGCTTAACAAGAATGCAGCTGCAACAAATGTTGCTGCAATGCTGGGCGAGTTTTTCACGTTGTTTTTTTCCTTTTTTTTTGTACTTTGTGGTTTCGTCTTGGCATATGTATGCTGCCATATGCAGCCCATTTTATACATATACACATATTTATAAACATACAAATTTATATACACATACAAAATTGTGTGGGGCAACAAAAGTTACATGCACCGAATGCACAAAAAAAAAAAAAAAACAATAAAGAGAGCAAGCCCACAGATTGGGAGAGAGCCGCAGCACCACAACAACAACAAGAGCTTTTCTGAACTCAACCACCCGCTCTCTCACTCTCTCTCCGTCTTGTTGCCTCTCTCTTTGCGTTTCCCCTCCTGAATCCGAGTTTTTGTTGTTTAATTTCGGGGTTGGGGGTGCAACAAACCACTCACACACACAAAAACACACATTGTAGTTCGGTCACGTAGACCGAAAAAAGACTAAAAGAAAAACCTATCAATGGCGTTGCCACCTGACAGTGATTTTTCCAATAGGAAATCCCGTTTGATTGGGATATTGAAGCCTGTTGCTCCGTAGCATTAAACATTTCAGGTAAAGGTGTCGTATTTCCAAAACCGGGAGATACCTTCATGCCTCATTAGATTGATATATGCTTGATTGATTGCATACTTTTTGATTTATAAGCAAGATACATTCAAGTATAACATCTGATGGATACAAAGCTTAATACCTGCTAGTATCTCACGGATACACAGTTACCAGATACGTAAAGATTTTAAACCATTACTTTAGGTAGACAGATTGATTTTTCCAGACACTTTCTACCGACTCAAAAATGTCTAAGTAAATATTGATAGAAAACCGGATGATAGATTAATTGAAATACAATCGTAAAAACCTCAAAGTTAAGGTTGTATAAAGTTGTAAAAACATGTTAGAGGTACACCCTATAAATGATTTAACACACAGGGATTTCGCGTATTTTGAAATTGGAGAATTGGTTAATCCCTTTTCATGGTCAAGTTCTGTGTGTTTTGTAGAAGCTTCTCGCTTGGGTTTCTAACCCTCTTTCCATTATAACGTTTTTTCCGGCAGGCCAGCTGCCGAATTGTGATTATCCTGTTGCTGCAGCTAATGGCCTGAAGCATGAGCTGGAATCAGGATAGCAAATAAACCAACCCCTAAGCTAAATATATGTATATAACTTTTTTTTTTTGACAACATGAGCGTGCTTTGCATTCGGGAATAGCTTCCGCGGCACATTTCAATTTTATTTCCATTGTGCGACAAATTCAATTCAATAAAAGGAGAGCCAAGCCGAGACAGCCGGAAGTAAAATACCAACTATAAATATTATATTAGCGTGTCTGCTCTGCTATGTATGTATGTATATCTTTGTGTTCACTCCTACCCTTCGGGCGCAAACAATGCTGTGGGTTAATGGTCACATAGAAAGGGTTGTCCTTGTCCCCTTTGCGGAAGACTTTTGGAAAAATAAATATAAAATCATCCGAGCAAACAATAAGCAGTCGTTGCCAAATAAACGATCGAATTATTCAAATTGAATTGAACGTTATTTTTTGGCAAACAGGAGGAGGAAGGAAGTGTTGCTGGTTTGTTGCCGGCTGTCGCTGGTAGACAGTGAAATCAAAGGACAGGAATTTTTCAGATTCCTGAAATAAACAAAGCATCTGAAGATATCCTTTATTGAATTAAGGCTTAGACCGAAGCAAATGGAGGGGAATGCCTGGCAAAGGGGAAACTACTTACAAATATCTACTTATCTAAGGGATAATTGAAGGATCAAAGAGAATAAAGGATGGGATTTTGGCAAGTGCTTCTTGCTTGATTAGATAGAATGTCCAGTCGCTTAAGGAAATAATTCGGTAACAATATAATGCGTGAATAATATATAAATTGAGGACTATAAGTTAGGAACGAATAAAGTTGGGATAATAAAATGAATTTGGGAGGTGGGATAGCTTGAACACATTCATAGTTCTATGGAAAGATGATATATTTTTTATCTTATATCTCATTTATATCTCATTTACCTCATATTTATATGTAGAAATGTGACCTACTGTTTTAAAAAAGGCAAGTTTCAAGTTCATACATGGGAAATTTAAAGAAATATTGAAAAGGGATTTTTAAGGGAACAAAGGATTTAGAAATTATCTTTTAAATCTTCCCAGAATCCATCTGATACTATTTTTTAGTTAAGGATCCACATATGTATATAACGTCTTTCATTCTTCATGACTTAATCCGCAATGGAGGAAATACGATGGAATACAATGAATGCCAATTAAAATAACAATTAGAGCAAGAGTTGCCAACGAGCAAGCAAAATGAAGAAGGTAAGGTAAGATGAGAGCAAAGGGAAAAGGTGAATAAACACAATGATCCCAAGACAGGACATCGGCTCAAGCTGGCTTACCTGAGAACTCAGCCAGCAGCTGTAACGAGATCGAGCCGAGGATCAATCGGGCGCAAGGAAGCAACAGCTAGCTCAAGTACAAAAAAGTAAGGGTAGCTTTGAGGAAAGAGCTAAGAATACGATAACAAGGGAGCAAGGAAGATGTGCTGCGCTCGGCAGCTGTCGTAAACTAGAAGCAAATGTGCCATGTTGATTGTATTGCACAAGGCCAGAAGGAAGCAGCGACCTGGCCCCGGCGCAGGACACAATGCGATATCCCAAGGATATGCCCAGGCAGCCGGCGAAACCGGCCTGCCCTTGGGATGTGTGTTTTTTTGCTGCCTCTCGCAGGCCCTGTGAAAATAAAAAAGGAAAGGATAAGGCGAACAGCTGTCTGCACGGAATCCCCTCCACTGACTGGCTATCTGAGCTGATCACGTAGTCCACGAACGGAGCGGGAGCTAGGACCGCCCTTAATGGCACTTACACTAATCAATAATCGAGTACCATGTGTCACAACTCTGATATATGCGTTTTAAGCCAATTGGAGTGAAATGAAGGAAGAAGGGAAAGCCGGAGGACAGGAGATGCGGGCGAAGGGCGGAGCCCGGCATAATTGAAGGTGTCTTCTCCCCCTCAGCATTTCTTTCGTTTTGTTTTCCAGCCAGCATTCATGGCAGGTGGCTCGCTCTCACCGCGCTGCAGGTGCATGTGTTGCACGATGTGCGTTGCACTCGGTAACACGCCGTAATGCGGTTAAATTATTGATGGAGTGTCAGGACGAAGATATGGGGGTTGCATTGGAAATAAAGGACCCATTATCAAAAGTATTCACAATGGATCGAATTGGAGGGAATTTAAAGAGCAATGCCAATGGCCAATATCTCCTTCACATTACGGGAGACAATGGAACGATCAATCATATAACACAAGTAGAGCCATAGCGAAAGGATAATTTTTCTTTCTTAGGACAACAAACGAATTGAAGATCAAATATAACGATGATGTGTTCTGTATTCCTTAAAGTCCAAAGAACTATTTCATATTGATTTACTTTCTTCTGTAATTTATATCTTATTTTTAAGAAACTATTCCTTTAAAAATGCTTCACTCTTAGATATCATCTAATAAACTAAGAATGTTTCTTTCAGAGCTCCACGGTTTCCTACAAATCTTGCTGGTTGACATGAAAGAAAGCCTTCCAGGGAGTTCCGAAAATAGATTCTAGGGATTGGCGGGGACAGATGTTTAGATGCACGGATGCCTGTGGAGCCGTGTTTTCCGATTCAAGGGGCGAGTGCCTGGGCCAGAGAATGTGTCTTGTCGATAAGATGTCTTACCCCGGAAAGCAGGAAGCGTATTTTTAAATTGTGCGGATACGTGGTGGCTGCTCCTCCTACTCCTCCCCCGCCGGCC